AGTCGAATCGACTTTAGAAATGACGAGCGGGAGCAGGTTCAATTGCAACAAGTTGCGCTTTGTCAGCTTGAGTGAGTGTCATTAATCTGGTTACCAACTCTCCCGCCCTCTCGGCAGATCACTAAGCTACAACTATATGTACGGCTCGGTCCCTACGTACCTCGTAAATCTCCCAGCACTCACCGAACTGTAAGTGGCTTCATGCTATCCTTTCTAATGAAAAACATTCAGACCCTTTCCCTTCTCAACTGTGCTTGTTGTCTCCCCTCTTCTCACACAGAACCCCTCGCCACATGCCCCTTTGAAACCCCCATTCTAATATCCTCAGACGGTTGGAGTTCAACTTCCTCACTGGTAGCATTCCAGGCATGAGTACGGGCTTGAAAGCACTCAACTTTAGAAGCAACTACATTTACAGCATCGCCGCCCATTCACTCATCTTCTGCGGCGGCAGTCTTGGCTGTCTCTCCGATCCCTCCAAGTGCTCCAGTTCCGGGACTGTGCAGCGGCCCGCTGCTGACCGCGCCATCTGTGGCACTACCAATGCCGTCGTTCCCTTGTGCTGGGGCGCCGGTGGGGAATGCATGGTCGCAGCTGCTAGTAACATTGCAGTCAAAATACCAAATTCAGTATCGCTCACGCCTGTCCCACCCATGGTCTGCTCAGGTAATGTGCCCTAACCCTCCATGTGGGTTCCACACTCTCCTTAGCCGCCTCATATCAGCGTTGGTGCAGCAGGCTTGGGTGTGTCTGGGACTGGGATTCTTGCATACACAAATATGCATGGTTCGTTCTGAGTGTTGTGTCAGTGTTGTTTTCCATATGCGTTCACCCCTCGCATGATGATGATGATGATGATTCATTCACCCATCCACCCTCTGTACGGTCCAAAACCTCCCTGTGACCTACTGTGCAGGCGGTAATCTAACTACCGTGCAATCTTCCAGTTCTGCAGGTGTGTTGAGGCTGCTCCTTTTCTTGCATTGTCATCCAGTACATAGTTTCCGGATGCTTCCTCTTTTCAGTTTTCTTTCAATGACTTTCTCTTCCAAATCTCCACGCTGTTCCTGCTACTCTATTTCTTCCCTCCCCGCCCTCCCCTTCGCCAGCACTGCTGTCGCTCAAGGCATCGCTGGGAGTGACGTTCACCTCGTGGGCAGCAAGTGTGCCGTGCCAAGTGGCTGGCAAGCAGGCTGCCACACTGACCACGTGGTCCGGCGTGCTCTGTACTGATTCCGGGGACGTGCTTTCCATGTGAGCACCCGTGCATGCATGCTAAAGCTTTGTGGAAGGGAAAATGGGGGTAACCAGCCGGCCTCTATCAACTCCTTCTGCACCCATCCCTCTGCCTCTTCCAATCACCCCCTCACAGCTCGTTTGCACGTCAGAAGCTTAAGGGGTCTATTCATTTTGACATCTCCAAGCTCACCGCACTCACTTACCTGTAAGGGTGAAGTAGGGGGCGTACTCACAAGAACCTGTGTACTCACAGAATGCCTAGCTGTCAAGTGCCTGTGTGCCACACGACAAGGGCAGGAAGTTTCTGTTTCTGCAATTGAAGACCACCCTGCTGCTGCTGATGGCTGGCCCATGACCAGTCGTTTGGGCATGGGGTAAGAAGGATGGGTAGGGTCATGGACAGGCCAATATTTTTCTCTCATCACAGACCATGGTGAACGGCTTCGGCCCCCAGAAAAGCTGATTGTGCATGCATGCATGCATGCGTACATCTCCAAATGAGAGGCCTTCACAACCATGCTGCTGATGTGAAAGCGACAATGGCCTTCACATCCTGCGTCCCATCCTGTAATTGGTATCTTTTTCTTGAGGCCATTCTGCGACCTGCCTCCAGCACAACACTTCCCTTCCCAATATGTGCTTCACATTTCTTGTGTCTCCCCACCTGCTTTAGGGATTTCGGCTACAACCTTTTTCAGGGCAGTCTTGGTGTGTTTGCTGGACGAATCGGAGCAATAACCTCTTTGAAGGAGCTGTGAGTACCTTCTCCCCTATAAGAGCTGTAAAATCGTTCCCACCATTGCTAATGTGTAGTGTATGATATTTGCATAAAGCAAGATGTCTGCTATCATTACGTAACCCTTTGTGTGACCGTTCTCAAAATGTGAACCCCAGCTTATTCAACAAACAACAACCACCACTCTCTTCTCTTGCGGTGCATCCCCACTTCTACCCCCCAGCTTCCTCAACAACAACTGGTTTTCGGGAACCATCCCCTCCTTCATCGCCTCCCTGCCACAGCTTACCTCCCTGTGAGCAAACACACAGCTTCTTGGATCCGCAGATGCATGCAGGAGCCTCGTTGCAGGCCTTCCTGGTCTCTCGCACCTCTCTCACATCTCACTTTCGTCTCACTCTCATGCCTCGTCTACCTGTGCTGCTTCTTCTTTTGTTTCCTGTGCCCGCCCCTCCACTCCCCCATACACCCCTCCCCCACCAGAGGCCTCTCCTCCAACTACCTCACGGGCACCATGCCCATCCTCTCCACCTCCCTGGCCACTCTGGTTGTTAGCTTCAACTACCTCTCGGGCTCCTTCCCCCAGCTCTCTCTCAAGAGTTATGCGGCCGCCCAGAACTGCTTCCTCAACTCCTCCTAATGCCAGACATACGGATCGCTGCAGCGCCCCGCCAGTGCCTGCGCCATCTGCGGCACGACCAACGGGCAGGGAACTCTGTGCTCTGGTGGACTTTGTGCTGCCAACAGCTCTGCGCCAGTCAGCCAGGGGATTTTCAACGCCCCCTCGCTGACTCCTGTGGCCTTGGCTTGCCCAGGTGCGTGTTGAGTGTTAAGTGCAGAGGGGATTGGAGAGAATGACACGTAGGGCCAAGAGAATGATATGATGTTACCTGGCACATGTGGGGGCGCTATTACTCAAATTCGAATGCAACCTCTGTCCATTGCCTGTTGAACTCCACCATCCATTTGAATGTTCATTTTACATCAATGTTCTCTCAATTACTTGTTTCAGGCATTGTCTACCTGAATTTTGTACCACTGACTGTAATGTTCACTCGTGCCTCTGACTCTTCCCCTGTACAGGATATGCTTCCGTTGTCCTCATAAATGCTGAATCAGGTGGGTGGGCCTTTCTTTCTCAACGCCAATTTCCATGCCCCTCCCACTCTCGACCTGCACTCACTTGTTCCCGGCTCCCACCAATCAAGTAGCACACACACCTGCATACATCTAAGACATCCTCTCTCAACCCTTTCCTGATTGTGCTTTATTCACCCTCCCCCATTTTCTTTTTCCGTCCCCATTCTCTCCATCCAGTGTCCGCAATGCAATCCATCAAGTCATCCCTGGGAGTGACGCTTACGGAGTGGAACACCTCTTTCTGTGCTGTGGAATATAAAGTCGCACAGCCAGGAATCACCGTCCCGTATAATGTTTATTGCTCCTTGGACGGGGCATCCACCGTCATGTGAGTTCGTGAACAATTATATGTATATATATGTATATATGTATAAATGTTTTAAACAATCGTGGAGCAATTGCATACTTCTGGTTGACTCTGCTCTGCATGTCCCTGCTAGGCTTCTATTTACATGTCCAGTGCAGAAAGCATCACTACCAATCTGTATCATACGAATTATCGTATCTGCACCGCTCTAGAAGCAGCCCGTAAACCCTAGACCCTAGAGTGGTGTATATGATCACCAATAGGACGACTCACACTCTTTGCGTTTCGTGTGTGGGTCCATGACCCATGCATATTGTTACAAGTATTTCATTGCTCTTCACCCTTTGTACATTCATTTCATGTGGTTCGCAGAGACTTAGGGACGTACTATCTGACGGGCACTGGCCTGCCTGCTGAAGTCTCCAAGCTCACTGCCCTCACAGAACTGTCAGTCTCTCTCAAAAGATAATTTGTGTTTTAGCGGCCTTAGGCACATGCAAACTTCCAAGCATTATAAAGTACGGACATTTTTCTGCAACTTCAGCTCCTGTTTTTCTCTCTCATGCACTGCGTGATGTTGCTCTGCCTCTGGCGCCACGTGCTTTCATGCCTTGTTCTCTTTTGCAATGACACGCCACATGATCTTTCACCATGACACGCCATGTGCTCTTTTCCCATGCATGCCATGTCATGCGTGTACTGCCTGTTCCCATCCGCCTGCCTTCAACCAGGAATATTGGAACGAATTTTTTAAATGGCCGCTTGGAAGACTTCACGTCCAGCCTCAGGGGGTGCACAGCTCTACAGATCTTGTGAGTAGTCAAGTCAAGAAGAGGTGAGCAGTCAAGGAAGCATCATGTGATCAGCTGTTTGAGCACCATTTGAGCAATTAAGATTATGTGAGCAGTCAAGCGCAGGTGAGTTGTAAACAGCAGGTGAGTAGCCTAAAGCATGTAAATAGTCAAGAGCTGCGAGCATGCAAATTGAGCACCGCAAATCGTACAATATGACTGATGAAGCGTAAGAGGCCACGATATGCTGAGAAGGGAAGTTCACATCTCTGAAGTACTTCTTCTTTCACATGTCCACGGTCACTGAACTTGCCACATATTTGAAGGGATAGATGGGGGCGTGCAGCTAACTGGAATATGTTTAGGGTGATCTCTCGAGACAATGACGCATCAGGAAGTTAATTCGTTCAAACTGAGCGGGAGTGACATTAATCAGGCCACCAACTCCCCTGCCCTTCACTTGGCAGACAACTGAGTGTCAACTATCTGTACGGCTCAGTCCCCTCGTACCTCGTGAATCTCCCAGCATTGACAGCACTGTAAGTAGAACCATGCCACATGTTTAATACTCAGTCTTTTATTCTGTTGATCTTGTCAGCTACCTTGCTGGTATGTAATCCCTTGTTATGATGAACATGGCCATATTTGACTCCTACCCTACCACCCTTCCCTTCCCCGCCCCCCCACCTCCCCTCCCCCCCCCTCTCCTCTCGTCAGATACCTGAATAACAACTTCCTCACGGGTAGCATCCCAGCCATAGGTGTTACCTTGAAGGTGTTCAGTTTTATGAACAACTACATTTGGGACATCGGCACTCACTCGCTCGGCACGTGCATCGGCACCAACTGCTGCCTCACTGATCCCTCCAAGTGCGGTGGTGCCACCCAGAGATCTGCTGCTACTTGTTCCATCTGTGGCACTACCAGCGGCGTCGCTCCCGTCTGTTTTGGTGGTGGTGGGGAGTGCGTGGCTGCTGCTGCTTCTTACATTGCAGCTTCCATGCTAAACATGGGGAAAACCCTCCCTACCCCACCCATGCTCTGCTCGGGTAATGTACCTTGACCCTTCGTGTGGGTCCAAAGTATCAATGGCCACCTCAGCATGGGTACAGCAAGCTGGGTGTTTGTGGAACGAATAGCTTTGAATTGACGAATGCTCATGCTGCTTTCCTCAGTGGTGCACGTGTAAAGTTATTCTTCGTACTCGTGCACCCTTATGCTTCTCCTTCTTCGTCTTCTTCTGCTGCCGGTGGTGGTGCTGCTAATGATAATGATGATGATGATGATGATGATGATGATGATGATGATGATGATGATGATGATGATGATGATGATGATGATGATGATGATGATGATGATGATGATGATGACGACGACGATGATGATGCTGACGATGACGATGACGATGATGCTGACGATGACGATGACGATGACGATGACGATGATGATGATGATGGTGAAGATGATGACAATTCACTCACTCACCTACCCTTTGTTTGGCCAAAACCTCCCTGTGGCCTAATGTGCAGGCGGTAATTTAACTGCCGTGCCATCTACCAGCGCTGCAGGTGTGTAAATGCTGCTCCTTGCCTTGCATTGTCATCCGCGCACCATGCATCAGTTCAGTCAAACATAGTTTTGTGGTGGTTCCTCTTATCAGTACTTTCCCAATGTCTTTCTCTCCACATCTTCCCTAATGCTTGTATTATTTCACCTGTTCCAAATCTTCACTCTGTCCCTACTGCTCTATTTCTTCCCACCCCCGCCCTTACCTCCCCGTCTCCGCCCTCCCCTTCGCCAGCACTGCTGTCGCTAAAGTCATCGCTGGGTGTGACTTTCACCTCGTGGGCAACAAGTGTGCCGTGCCAAGTGGCGGGCAAGCAGGCTGCCACACAGACCACGTGGCCTGGTGTGCTCTGTGGTGACACCGGGGACGTGCTTTCCATGTGAGCACCCATTGCCTAATCAAATCCACATGCAATATCTCTCGTCATTCTAATTTCATTGATGCTGGCTCATACAATGCTGAAAGCGTCTTAAATCATGTCACACTTTTCCTGATACTACCCTCCTCGCATCTATCACCTTCCTCGCATTCCCACCTCCCTGCCTCTCCTAACACTCCCCCTCAGTTCCTTGGCACGTCAGGGTCTGAAGGGGTCTATTCATGCAGACATCTCCAAGCTCACCGCGCTCACTTACCTGTAAGGCTCGAGTGGGAAGTGCTGCTTGTAAGGCAGAGCCATGTTTTGTTGCCAAGGTAGTCTTGTGTTCTGAACGGCTGGTAAACTCTTTGCTACCCTACAAAGGATCTGGACATGGAATTTCCAAGTTTTAGGTGTATTGCACCGCACACAAGTGAATCTTTCCATATCGCTCCAACTATACTCTCGTCCCCCGCCCTAGTGACTTTGGCTACAACCTCTTCCAAGGCCGCCTTGACTCGTTCACCGCGCCACTTAAGAATGTGCCCAGCCTCAAGGCGCTGTGAGTCCCAAACCTCATGTTTGTTGGCGCCTTGCCTACCAGCCTCAAGGCGCTGTGAGTTCAAGACGCCTTGACTCCACCCTCCCGTACATGATGTGAAGGCATGAAATGCTTCGTGGGTCATGTTCCCTAGTAACACCTTGTTAGGACTAACATCTGCCCATTCGATTTACACTTTCTGAAGGTGTTTTTCCCTTTGGTTTCCATTTCATGTCGTCTCACCCTTTTTTAACTTGACCTCCTTCCCGCCCTCCAGATTTTTCCACTACAACTGGTTTGCGGGATCCATTCCCTCCTTCCTCGCCTCGTTGCCGAAACTCACCACGCTGTAAGCAAGCAGCACACACAGCTTCAACGATCCATGCTTGCTTGCACGAGCCTCGTTGGTGACCCCTTGCACCTCGCTCACACTCCTCTCACTCACACTCGTGCTCGTTCACCCTTCCCTTCCCACCTCGTGCCTGTGTTCGTTCGCCCTCCCAGAGGCCTCTACTCCAACTACCTCACGGGCACCATACCCATCCTCTCCACCTCCCTGGTCGCTCTGGACGTGGGCTTTAACTACCTCTCGGGCTCCTTCCCCAATCTCTCCCTCAAGAGCTGTTCGGCCGACCACAACTGCCTCCTCTCCTCCACCTACTGCCGCTCCTCCGGTCTGCTGCAGCGCCCCGCCTCCGCCTGTGCCATCTGCGGGCCTGCCGACAACCTGTGGGAGCTCTGCTATGGTGGGCTGTGCGGCCCTGACAGTGCTGATGCAGTCAGTGAGGGGACTGTGAACTCCCCCGCTCTGCCCATGGTGCCCATGAAGTGCCTTGGTGAGTGCGGCTTTGCCCTTTTCCCGGATGAAACGGACAGCAAGGGAAGATTTCATGCGAAACCAGGGAAACCTTTCTGGCTGGAAAGTTTTTGCTCCTCTACTGCAAGCACACTGTAGTGGGCCCTGGCAGGCAGGGGCATGAGTTTTGTGGTGTCAGAGTATCAAGCCTTGCATTGCCTTAATGCCTTAACTAATCTGCTCTCGTTTATGCCATTTAATGCCTTTCCTGCTCTGCTCTCGTCCACGCTATGCAAGGCCTGTCATACAGCCTTCGTCTGGATGGCTGCTGCGTTGCACACACACAGGACGCCAGCTGGCTGGTTGCCTATCCCATTCGTATTTCTACTTTCCGGCTGCTCCAGCAGTGCCTCAAATCCTCTCTCCTCTGTGCATATGTCTTTCTCTGTGCCTGCATTTGCCCATACGCCTGTGTGACTGGCTGTACCCCTGTGTGTGGCTTTACCCTCTCGTGTGGCTGTACAGGTTCGCCTGTGGTAGCAATGAATACTGCCTCAGGTGAGCATTCTCTTCTATAAGCACACCTTACCATTCTACTGCAATCCTCACCTCTTTGTCTTTCAGCCTCTTTTGAACAGCCCCCCTTTCCCTCTTCTCTGTTCTGAAGCGTGTTGAATCACAAACCCCATAGCAAAAACACACGACTTTCTTCCGCTCCATTTTATGTTCCAATCCTCCTCATCCTCCTCCTCCTCCGCCTCACCATCACCCCCCCTTCTCCATTCCCATCCCAGCATCGGCTCTACTGAGCGTCAAGTCATCTCTGGGAGTCACCGACTCCACTTGGGTCGCCGCCTCTTCCTGCACCATCGGCAATGCCGAAACCAGCCTCCCAGACACATGGAATGGCGTGGGCTGCTCCGTTTCTGGGGCCGTCATCAGTCTGTGAGTGCTGAGAGTTACCACGAGTGAGTGAGTGCTGTTTTGACTGTGATTTTGATAGTCTCGGTTGTTACTACCAACCAGGACATTGCTTTGCAGAAAATATGTGCCAGAAGCTGATTTTCTGCAGCTTCAGCATTCCTGAATCGCTACTGGATTGACCAGTGTGTGAAGGGTCTCAAACCGCTGCATTTTCTGTTATCTTAGTGCCCTGAAGGTTGAAATACATAATACACAAAGGTGGTCTGTAATCTTCACTATCACGTTTTTTTTTTCACATCTCATCCCCTGTATCTGTCATGTGGTTGTGTAGTTTCACATGGACTCATTCCATATACATAATCTTTACCTGAGGGTGCTCCCCTCTTCCACACTCCTCCCCTCCCACCCCTCCCCCATTCCCTTTCTCTGGTTGTGCCATTACTCTGCTCTTGGCTCCGTATAGGAACGTGACTTCCATGGGCCTCAGTGGCAGCGTGCAGGCTGACATCTCCAAGCTCACTGCCCTCAGATCCATGTCAGTTCCCCTCTCCTTTTTTCCATCTGAATCCCCCCAATTCTCCTTCTTTTCCTCTCCTCCATCCCCTCGTTCTTCCCCTTGTCCAGCTCCCTCCGCTTCCCTCTCACTATCTCTTTTTCTCATTTGCTAGGCCAGATATTTTTTCCTGCTTCCACAGTCCTCCCTTCCTGTTGCCTTGTAACATCCTATCCCATCCTTCTATTTAAACCACCTCCTTGTATATCTGATCAGAAACCAGGGATATTATGATGCCCATCCCAACAACCTCAGCATGTTGCTTCCATCCTACGCCCCCCCTCGCCCTCCTTCCCCCAATGCCTCAGGGACCTGTCGAGCAACCTCTTCCGCCAGAATCTCGCATCCTTCACTTCTGGCTTCTCCAAACTCCAGGCCCTCAAGCGCCTGTGAGTGCTGCCCGTGCTGAGAGAGACACACCTCCATCCCATGTTTCTCTTGCTTTGCTCATGTATCCACCGTTATCGTGATACGTCAAATTTATACCAATGTTTCAGTGTGCCCGTCTCTGCGCCAATCTTCATTTGATATCTCTATTCGTCTTGTTTCAGTGGTCTTATTTTCCTGGACTCGCCCTTCCCCCTCCTCCATCCTTCACACAATACAAGTAACTTTCCTGCTTCCCCTCCATTGCTTGCTTCCACTTCCTTATCTCCTTCCTCTACCTTACTCATTCTGCTGACGATCCCATTTTTATCGCTTGCGTCATTCATCTCCCTTGCCTCTCATGCCTCTTCCTCTCCTTGCAGCCATCTGAACAACAACTGGTTTGCGGGCTCCATTCCATCTGCCCTCGTCTCCCTGCCTGCCCTCACCTTCCTGTAAGCAGCTCTACGTTTCCCACCCACTCAATGCTTTCAGCGCCCATTCCTGTTGCCATGTTATATGACCTGCATTGTGACGAGAAGTACTGTACAATGTGCCGTTGTTCCACACACTGCATGGGCCTGGGGTCACCTGATATGCCACCATTGTCTGGGTCCCATCGTAATTCACATCGTACACGCCGCGTTAGATCACCGATCTACCGATTTGTCATCTTGTCTCATTGCGAGCTGTCCATCCCAGTAACGCTAACTAACAACTTACCTGATCCACCTACCTGCAGGGATCTGCACACAAACGCACTGACCGGGACGGTGCCAGTCCTGCCCACCTCTCTCCTCTCCCTTAACATCCAAGACAACTTCCTCGCGGGAATATGATATTGTCATAATTAACCGCGGCCTAACTTCGGTGTGTGTGTGTGTGTGTGTGTGTGTGTGTGTGGGCGCGCGCGCGCGCGCGCGCGTGTGCGTGTGCGTGCGTGCGTGCGTGTGTGTGTGTGTGTGTGTGTGTGTGTGTGTGTGTGCGTGCGTGCGTGCGACCATGCGTGCGGGTGAGCGGGGTGGTTGCCGGATCTCTCCAAATCGGATTTGTGTGCGTGAGTTGCTGACAGGGATTTGTCTGCACAATCTTTAGTCCGCAAAGACCTCCCCAGCGACTTGACCGTACTTTCGGCGCTCACTTCATTGTGAGTAGACACCCTTTACGATGCTTTTGCTCCATCGATGATACTTTTACTGATTCTATACATTTTTTTGCCCTCAGATCTGTCTCTGCCACGCGCATGTTCTTCCTCGCAGGTCAATGGGTAAGAACTTGCTGGACGGCAACGTGGCGAACTACCTCAAGTATCTCACTGGCCTCTCTGCCCTCAAAGTATTGTGAGCATTCGTGGCTGCTACTGTCCATGCTCTTCTTCTCCCCTTAAAAGTCTACAACCTTGGTACCATCTGTCCATTCATTCGTCCGTCCGTCCGTCCGTCCTTCCGTCCTTCCGTCCTTCCGTCCTTCCGTCCTTCCGTCCTTCCGTCCTTCCGTCCTTCCGTCCTTCCGTCCTTCCGTCCTTCCGTCCTTCCGTCCTTCCGTCCTTCCGTCCTTCCGTCCTTCCGTCCTTCCGTCCTTCCGTCCTTCCGTCCTTCCGTCCTTCCCTCCTTCCCTCCTTCCCTCCTTCCCTCCTTCCCTCCTTCCCTCCTTCCCTCCTTCCCTCCTTCCCTCCTTCCCTCCTTCCGTCCTTCCGTCCTTCCCTCCTTCCCTCCTTCCCTCCTTCCCTCCTTCCCTCCTTCCCTCCTTCCCTCCTTCCCTCCTTCCCTCCTTCCCTCCTTCCCTCCTTCCCTCCTTCCCTCCTTCCCTCCTTCCCTCCTTCCCTCCTTCCCTCCTTCCCTCCTTCCCTCCTTCCCTCCTTCCCTCCTTCCCTCCTTCCCTCCTTCCCTCCTTCCCTCCTTCCCTCCTTCCCTCCTTCCTTCCCTGCTTCCCTGCTTCCCTCCTTCCCTGCTTCCCTGCTTCCCTCCTTCCCTGCTTCCCTGCTTCCCTGCTTCCCTGCTTCCCTGCTTCCCTGCTTCCCTGCTTCCCTGCTTCGGTGCTTGCTTGCTTCCCTGCTTCGGTGCTTGCTTGCTTCCCTGCTTCGGTGCTTGCTTGCTTCCCTGCTTCGGTGCTTGCTTGCTTCCCTGCTTCGGTGCTTCCCTGCTTCGGTGCTTGCTTGCTTCCTTCCTTTCTCTCTTACATAGGTTTTTTTTTGGTTTTTTTTTTTGAAGTTTTTTTATTTTGTTTTTTCTGTCGGTGTTCCATGACAGGTCAATGGGCAGTAATTATTTCTCTGGACAGTTTCCAAGCTTCCTCCTAGACTTGAGGAGCCTTACTGTTCTGTAAGTATAGTGCCAATGCTGTTCACTTATCCATTATTTTCTAGTTGTCTGAACCTTTATGCCATCACCTCTTCCCCAATTTTCTCCTCCTCTCCCTCTCCCCTGCTACTACGATCTTCGTGCACTCATAACCCCCAAACCCCCCCTCCCCCCCTCTCCAACACACCCCCACAGAGACCTCTCGTACAACTACCTCACGGGCTCCATCCCAGAAACCATCTACGGGATCAGGTCACTCAAGATCCAATACAACTTCTTCGCGGGCGCTATGCCGTTCAACATTTGGAACTCATGCGATAGCTACTCCAACTGCTTTAGCTCCGTCAGCGAGTGCGTTGGTGGCACTCAGCGTCCGAGTGCCACTTGTAACATCTGCGGCAGCACCACTGGTGGCACCGGCACGCTGTGTAGCCCGGGGCTGTTGTGCGAACCGGATGACGATGCCAGAATCGCCGCCAAGACTTTGAACGACAACTCGGTCCCAGGCTTGGCAATGAGGTGTATACTCTATGGCGTTCTCATTGAATCCACTCAGGGTGAGTGCGGCACACGTCTCTCAGATATTTGCTGCCACCACACTTGCAATCTTGTGCTATTGCACCCTCGCACTCTTGCAATTTCGCTCACCTCTCACCCTCTCAATCGTGCTTCCCACTTCACCCGCCGGACCCTCCTCCTCTCGGCAGCGACTGCAATGCTGGCGTTGAAGTCTGCTCTGGGCGTGACCCTCACCACGTGGGCCTCCACCAACCTCTGCCGCCTCACCGGGAAATCAACGCCACTCCAAAACGAGTGGACTGGCGTGTACTGCAATCTCGCAGGCTCTGTGGAGTCTATGTGAGTGGGCAGCGGGGCAGCAGGGTACTAAGGGAACGGGGCAATGGGGCTGTGGGGCTCTGGTTGGGAACTGGCTGGAAACTCCGGAACATAAATGATTGCCAATTGTTCCAAGTATTTGTGTGTTGCCTGACGGAGGTGCAATTCGAGAGACGTGTGTTTGCCTCACAGAGTCGTATACTCTTTACAACAGGTTTTTCAAGCTAGATGGGGCCGTCAAAAGCTAGATGGAAACAAATTATGTGTGTGTGTGTGTGTGTGTGTGTGTGTGCGCGCGCGAGCTCGTGTGCGTGCGTGCGTGTGTGTGCGTCTGGTTGCGCGCTGCGTGCGTGACCTTCCCATATCGGATTTGTGGGGCATGAGTTGCTGGCAGGGATTTGTCGTCACTCATGATAACCCGCAAGGACCTCCCCAGCGACTTGACCGCACTTCCGGCCCTCACTTCATTGTGAGTGGAAAATCAACTACACTGCTTTTCACTTGCTTGACAATTCATTTCGTCTGATCCTAGACATTGTTTTGCTCCGAGACCTGTCTCTGCCACGGAATCATCCACGCTCATGTTCTACCTCGCAGATCGATGAATAAGAACCTGCTGGACGGCAACATGGAGAACTACCTCAAGTATCTCACCGGCCTCTCCGCCCTCCAAAGCTTGTGAGCATCCGTGGCTGCTACTCTCCATGCTCTTCATCTGCTCTGCCACTAGAAGTAGCATCTGTCCATCCACCCAAGTTCCAACCACCCGTCCCACCGTCCGTCCATCCGTCCTTCCTTCCTTCCTTCCTTCCTTCCTTCCTTCCTTCCTTCCTTCCTTCCCTCCTTCCTTCCTTCCTTCCCTCCTTCCTTCCTTCCTTCCTTCCTTCCTTCCTTCCTTCCTTCCTTCCTTCCTTCCTTCCTTCCTTCCTTCATTCCTTCCTTCCTTCCTTCCTTCCTTCCTTCCTTCCTTCCTTCCTTCCTTCCTTCCTTCCTTCTTTCCTTCCTTCCTTCCTTCCTCCTTCCCTCCCTCCCTCCCTCCCTCCCTCCCTCCCTCCCTCCCTCCCTCCCTCCCTCCCTCCCTCCCTCTCCCTTCCTGCTTTCATCCCTTCTTCCTTCCTTCCTGCTGTCCTTCTGTCCTGCCGTCCTTCCTTCCGTCCGTGCGCCATTTCATCCTTTTGCTACTATTTCGTTGTTGTTCCCTGACAGGTCAATGGCCAATATGTATTTCTCTGGACAGTTCCCAAGCTTCCTCTTGGACGCAACGAGCCTTACTGCTCTGTAAGTACAGTGCAATTCGTCTGTCCACCTTTTCATTATTTTCAAGTTGTTTGCGCTCCACCCCCCCCCCCCCCCCCCCCCCCCCCCCCCCTCTTCCCCCCATCTCTTGTCCTCCCTCATATCCTCCCACCCTCACCTCGTCTCCCCCACTCTTCAACACCTCTTCTCCCCCCCTCTCCAACACACCCCCACAGGGACTTCTCATACAACTACCTCACGGGCTCCCTGCCATCCACCATCACCAAGCTCAAGTCGCTCAAGATCGGCAACAACTTCCTCGCGGGCTCTCTTCCGTCCGGCACCTGGACCTCATGCTTCATCTATAACAATTGCCTTAGCTCCGTCGGCAACTGCCTAAGCAGCGCCACCTTTCAGCGTTCGGGTGCCTTGTGTAACATCTGCGGCAGCACCACTGGTGGCACCGGCACGCTGTGTACCACAGGGCAATCGTGCGAGCCAGATGACGATGCGAGAATTGCCTCCAAGACTGTGAACTATGTAGTTCCAGACATGACGCCACAGTGTAGAGTGTATGGCGTTCTCATTGAAGCTACTCAAGGTCAGTGGTCTTCATGTCCCTCAGATAATCTTCTCCCACCACACTCGTCCGTGCACTCTTCCACTTGTGCACTCTTGCACTGTCTCACCGCCCCACTCCTGCAAGCATGCATTCGTTCGACTACATTTACTTTCACTCTCTTACATTTCCTCGCTCTTCCACTCTTGCACTCTCACACTTGCACTCTTGCACTTGCCCAATTGCATTTCTCCACTCTCCCGCTCTTGCACTCTCGCACTTGTAGCATTCTTTTGCTCCTTCCCTCTTGTGCTCTTGCACTCTTGCATTGTCACTCTCTTCTTACTCCTGCGTTCTAAAACTCTTGGACTCTTGCGCTCTCGCTCGCACTATAACTTCTTGCGAGCTTTCCAATCCTGATTCCCTCTGTACCTCCCGGATCCTCCCTCAACCCATGGCAGCCAATGCAATGCTGGCGTTGAAGTCTTCTCTGGGTGTGACACTCACCACGTGGGCCACCACCAACCTCTGTCGCATCACCGGAAAATCAACGCCCCTCCAGAACGAGTGGACTGGCGTGTTCTGCAATGTCGCCAGCTCTGTAGAGTCCATGTGAGTGGGCAGGGGGTGTACTAAGGCAATGGTTCAGTGGAGCACTTTTTGATCCAGCATGAGGTGGAAGCCATGCAGAATGTGAGTTATTGCCAATCGATCCTAAGGCGTGTGCGTTCAAAGTGTCAGGTCGAGTATTCTCTTCACAAGAGATTTTCAAAGCGAGAGGGAGATGACAAAAAGTGGAGCGATGGGGATAGAATGGTGAACTTTCAGCCGGCTATGATCACACACTCATCCCTCTGCCCTTCCCGTCACCCCCCGACAGCTCACTGGGGCGTCAGAATTTGAAGGGGTCTATTGCTTCGTCCTTCTCTAAGCTCACCGCGCTCACTTACCTGTAAGGGCGAATTAGGACACAGGAACCTGTAACGCACGCACACACAGACAGGCTGACTGCATCACAAAGGGAATGCGCAACTGTCGAGTCAAGTTCCCGTGTGCCACACACCAAGCAGCAGAAGTTTCCCGTTCCATGGTCACACCAACTCGAGAGCAGCCTGCTGCCGCTGGCGGCCGTTCCATGCTTCACTTTTGGGCACGGGGTGAGAGAGATGGAAAGGGACACGGATGGACCAATGTGTTGCTCTCATCACATCACATGTCATGCCAAACGGCCGTCCTTTGTCCTCCTAATAAGGTGACTATGCATGCAAGAGAGAATCGTCAAAGTGAGAGTGAATTATGGTGAATTATGGTGAGAGTGATGTGATGCTCGCAGGGACAATGGACCTAGTCAGCAGCGTCTTTCTTTCCAACCCCATCTCTACAAAACAACTCTTTCCTTCCAGATATGTCATTCACAAAGCTTAAATTCAACCCCACCTGCTTCAGGGATTTTGGCTACAACCTTTTCAGGGAAGCCTCGAATCGTTTGCCACACCAATCAAAGCCATGACCACTCTAAAGGCGCTGTACGTACTTCCTCACCCTAAGCCGTAAGTACGCTATCATCGTTGATTATGTGCAGTGTGTGTGTACAATTCAATCTAGGCTCAAAATTCAAATGTCGGTATAGCCGTAAGTACGCTATCATCGTTGATTATGTGCAGTGTGTGTGTACAATTCAAAGCCATGACCACTCTAAAGGAGCTCCACATGAAATGCGCGTTCGAGGTTGAGCAGTACAGTCTCGAACCTTTTTAAGTGGCACGAGGTTCATCATTGCCTCTCTGCCAAATACAGGGGTTCAAAGAAAGGATTCGCTTATACATGCAGGAGCCTCGTTGCCGGCCATTCTGCTCATGCCTGAAAGCGCCTCGCTTCCCCTTATCTCGCTTCCCTCCGCCATCCCCCCTTCCAACCCCCTCACTTCCCCCAGAGGCCTCTTCTCCAACTACCTCATGGGCACCATGCCCATCCCCTCCACCTCCCTAGTCGCTCTGGACGTGGGCTATAACTTCCTCTCGGGCTCCTTCCCCAAGCTCTCCCTCGCTGTCTGTGCGGCTGACCAGAACTGCTTCCTCAACTCCTCCTACTGCCGCACCTACGGCTCGCAGCAGCGCACCGCCGTTGGCTGCACCATCTGCGGCACGACCGACGGGCAGGGAACGCTGTGCGGTGGTGCACTTTGCTCCGCCAACAGCTCTCTGCCAGTCAGCCAGGGGATTGTCAACGCCCCTTTGGTGCCGCCGGTGTCCTTGACTTGTTCGGGTGCGTGTTGCTTGTCAATTGGCACAAACGACAGTGGATTTGTACAAGAAAAGCGCACAAAGGAATGCCATCGTAAGAGCAGGCTGAAGGAAGTGATGATGTGTCCGGGCATGTGGTGAACTATCGCCTTTGGAATAGCACCGCAACGTGCTGTCTGTTTCTCAAGAAATGATGGAGTGCAAAGCAAATGAGGATTAAGGGAGTGATTTGACGTGGCCTGGCTTGTTCTCTCAATAATTTGATTCAAGCATTCTCTAAAATGACTGACTCAAATGTTGGTTCGTGCATCTGCTTCCTCCCCATGGTGCCTGCACAGGAAAAGCTCCCACGGTCCTCATGAATGCTGCCTCATGTGGGCCTTCTTTTTTAACGCCAGCGTCCATGCCCTCCCACTCTCTTCCTGCACTCTCACTCGTTTCCGGCACCCACCAATCTGGTAACACGCACACCTGGATACGTCTGTCACATCCTCTCTCTCGACCCTTTTTCCAATCGTGCTTATCCACCCTCCCCCACTTTTCCCTTCCCCTCCCGATTTCCTCCATCCAGTGTCCGTGCTGCTATCCATCAAGTCAACCCTGGGTTTGACGTTCACGAATTGGGTCTCCTCCACTCTTTGTGCTGCGGGCAGTGGCACTCAATTTTCACAGGGACCCACCACCTGGTCTAATGTTGAATGCTACCTGGATGGGTCACCCAAGAAATTGTAAGTTTGTGAGACAGTTATAACTTCACAAATGTTTCAAACAATCGTGGAGCAATCACATACTCGTGTTTGAGTCTGCTCTGCATGTCCCTTCTACGCTCCTATTGACATGCCCACAGGAAGCGGCACTGCAAATCTTTTGTATAAGCACCGCTCTAGAAGCAGTCTTGGCTTAAGACCTGGGGTATATGACCACCAATGGGACGAATTACAGTCTTTGCACTTCATATGTGGGTCCATAAGCCATGCATATGGTTCGAGTTATTCCATTGCTCCCCACCCGTTGTCATTTATTCCAAATGTCTGCAGGAGCTTAGCAGGCATGTCATTGAAGGCCACCAGCCTGCCTGCTGACATGTCCAAGCTCACTGGCATCACAGATCTGTCAGTCTCTCTCACACGGTCCTTTCCTTTGTATTATAGCTGCCTTAGGTACATGCAAACTTTCAAACGTAATAAAGTAGGGTCATTCTCATGCAAATTGAACTCCTGTTTCTCTCTCTCCTCATGCAGTGCGTGATGTTGCTCTGCCTCTGCTGCCACGTGATTTCATGCCATGTGCTCATATTCCGTGTCACGCCATGTGCTGCCATGCATGCCATGCCATGCGTGTACTGCCTGTGTTCCCATCCGCCTGCTCTCAATCAGTGCTATTTCACTTAATTCCCTCAACGGCCGCTTGGATGACTACGTGTCCAGCCTCAAGGGGTTTACAGCTCTACAGTTCTTGTGAGCCATCAAGTCAAGAGGATATGTGAGCAGTCAATACAAGAGGATTTAAGCAATCAAGTCCATGTGAGCAGTCAAGAGCACATGAGCAGTCCTGTGCATATGAGGAGCAGTGAAGAGCATGTGAGCATCAACATGTGAGGAGTCAAGAGCAGCTGAGCGGTCAAGAGCAGGTGAGCAAACTAGAGCATGTATGTAGTCAAGAGCTCATGAGCATGCAACTTTAGTACCGTAAAACATACAACATGACTGTAGAAGGGGTAAGAGGGGACAAAAGGAACACGATATTTTGAGAAGGAAGATTCACGTCTCTGGCATACTTCTTCTTTCACATGCCCACGGACACTGAACTTGCCACATACTTGAAGGGATAGATGGGGGCATGCAGCTAAGTGGAATTTTGTTTTGCTGCTCTCTCAAGACAATGACACATTTGGAAGAGTGTCAGTTTTGACTGATCGAGTGAGTGACATCAACCAGGCCACCAACTCCCCTGCCACACACTTGGCAGAAATATGGCTTACAACTATATATACGGCTCGGTCCCCTCGTACCTCGTGAATCTCCCAGCACTGAAAGAGTTGTGAGTACCATCATGCCATGCCTTTCTTACTCACCCCTTTATTCTCTTTACCTTTTTAGCTACCTCGCTTTTATACATTCCCTGGTTATGATGAACAAGCCCGTATCGGACTCCTACCACACTTTCCTCCCGCTCCCCCCCCCCCTCCCTCCCTTCCCGCCCCCCTTCCCCTCCTCCCCCGTCCTTCTCCTCTCGCCAGAAACCTGTATTCCAACTTCCTCACTGGTAGCATCCCAGCCATGGGTTCAGCCTTGAAGTCGCTCGTGGTCTTCAAAAATTACATTTCGGACATCGGCACAAACTCACTCACCTACTGCAGAGGCGACAGCAACTGCCTCACTAATCCCTCCAATTGCAACAGCGGCGGAACCGCCCAGAGATCAGCTGCTAGTTGCGCAATCTGTGGCACTACCAACGCCGTCGCCCCCCTGTGCTGGGGCGCCGGTGGGGAGTGCGTGGCTGCAGCTGCTTCCTCCGCTTCCTTCGTCTGCTCAGGTAATGTGCCTTAACCCTCCGCGTGGGTCCACAATATCTTTAGCCACCTCAGCATGGGTGCGGCAGGCTGAGGCGTGTCCGGAAATAAGAGCTTCAATGTTCGTGCTTCTTTCCTCAGTGGTGCGTGTGTCAAGTTGTTCTTCATTCTCATGCATCCTTCTTCTACTTCTTTGTCTTCCTCTGCCGCTGCTGCTGCTACTGCTGCTGCTGTTGCTGCTGCTTCGGCTGCTGCAGTTGAATGATGGTTGTGACTCACTCACATGCCTATTTCCTATATGACCCAATCTCCTTGCGCTTTCCTCCTGCAGGCGGTGCTCTAGCTGGCATGTCATCTACCAGCATCGCAGGTGTGTGTGTGTGGGCTACTCCTTGTATTGTCCCAATCACAAACCGTCCGTGCACCATTCATAAGTTGTTTCTATCTATGCACTTCTTTCCGCCTCTCTCTATCCTCCTCCTCCTAACTCTGTCCTCTACAAACAATTCTCTCCCCTCTCTCTTATTCTCCCCCTTCACCAGCACTGCTGTCCCTCAAGGATTCGCTGGGTGTGACGTTCACCTCATGGGAAGCAAGTGTGCCGTGCCAAGTGGCCGGCAAGCAGGCTGCCACATAGACCACGTGGTCGGGCGTGCTCTGTGGCAATACCGGGGACGTGATTTCCATGTGAGCACCCAAACATGAATGCTGAAGCTTTGTGGGAGGAAAGAAGGGGGTCAAGCAGGTAACTAGTCAATCTCTATCAACTCCTTCTACACCCATCTCTGTGCCTCTTTCCATCACCCCCGGCCCCCCTCCCGCCCCACCCCCTTCCCCCCCCACCCCCTTCCCCCCCCACCCCCCCAACCCCCCCCCCCCCCCCCCCCCCCCCCCCCCCAGCTCGGTGCCACGTCAGAATCTAAGGGGGTATATCCATTCGTCCATCTCCAAACTCACCGCGCTCACTTACCTGTAAGGGTGAATCCGGGGGCGCACTCACGGGGACCTGTAACATATATACAAGACAGGATGACTGCATTGCCAAGGGGATTCCTAGTTGTCGAGTCGAGTGCCTGTTTCTCACACACCAAGAAAAGGAAGTTCCTGGTTCTGAAAGTTGAAGACCACCCTACTGCTGCTGGCGGCTGGCCCATGACCACCAGTTGTGTAGGCACGGGGTAAGGGAGATGGGAAGGGAGGGGAATGGACAGACAATATTTTGCTCTCATCAAGATTCACGTGTCCATGGTGAACGACCCGTCCTTTGTCATGCATGCATGCATACGTGCATGTGCATAAGAAAGGGTGAGCCATGCTGCTGATGTGAAGGTGGCAATGACCAATATTTGTTTTTCTCATCGATGCCCATGGTGATTGGTGAACATCTGTCGTTCGCCCCCCAGACAAGGTGACTATGCAACATGGTGATTATGCAGCATGTGTGCATCAGCATAAGAGAGGGTGAATCATGGTGCTGATGCGAAGATGACATGCCATAGACAATGGTCCCATTAGGTAGTGTCTTTCTTTCCAAGCCATCCTGCGATCTGTCTCCAGCTCACCACTTCCCTTGAAGATATGTGCTTCAAGAATTTCGGCTGCATCCTTTCTCTCCCCCAGAACTGCTTCGTCGGCTCCTCCTACTGCCACACCTACAGCTCGCTGCAGCGCCCCGCCACTGCCTGCGCCATCTGCGGCACGACCAACGGGCAGGGAACGCTGTGCGGTGGCTTCCCTTGTGTACCTTACAGCACTCTGGGATCCGAGGGGGTTATCAACGTCCCATTGCTACTGCCGGTGACCATGGCTTGCTCAGGTGCGTGTTGAGTGTTGAGTGGCAGAGGGGATTGGAGACATGTTAAGACATATTGGAGCCCAAATGACACGTATGGTCAAGAGAATGATTTGATGTAACCTGTGGGGGAGCGCCATTATTCAAAACTGAATGCAACTTCTGTCAGTTGCCTGTTCAACTCCGCCATCTATTTGTTTGTTCATTTTCATCAATCTTATTTTGATATGTTTCAAGCATTCTCTACCTGAATTTCGACTAACTGTGAAGTTGGTTCGTGCCTCTGACTCTTCCCCGTGGTGCCCCTGCAGGATATAAACCCACAGTCCTCTTGAATACTTCATCAGGTGGGTAGGCCATTCTTTTAAACGCTAACATAACACCCATGCCCCTCTCACTCCCTTCTTGCAATATCACTTGTTCCTGGCACCCACCAATCAAGTCGCCTCCTACACCCACACATACGTCTTTCTCTCCCACACATTCCCTCTTTCAACCCCTCCCCAAATCGTGCTTCATGCCTCCTTTTCTGCCGTTCCCTTTAACCCCCCGAATCTCTCCATCCAGTGTCCACAATGCTCTCTATTAAGTTCTCCATGGGCTTGGAATTCACAGACTGGGCCACCTCGTCTGTCTGTTCTACGGGTAGTGGAAGTTACACGAATCAAATCACCATCTGGTCTCGTGTTGAATGCTCCTTTGATGGATCACCCACAAGTCTGTAAGTGCCCCAAGATCACACGTCTGCTTGAGCCATATCACTGGGTCGCTCTACTCTTCTCACTTCATCCATCCATCCATCCATCCATCCATCCATCCATCCATCCATCCATCCATCCATCCATATGGCTAAATTTCTCCTGCTGCGCCCTATCCATTCTACCACATGCACTTGTGCAGCTCGTTTACATTCGCACGTTTGAAGGCAACCAGCCTTCCTGCCGACTTGTCCAAGCTTACTGGCCTCACGAATCTGTCAGTCCCTCTGTCTCTCTCTCCTTCCAAAAACATAGGATCATTTCTGAGTGCTATTTTTATGCCTTTGCTGCCTTGCAGCGTGATCCATGCCACGTCATGCCATGTGCTGCCATGCCACGTCAAAGTGCTGCCATGCCACGTCAAGCGTGTACTGCCTGTGTTCCCATGCACCTACCCTCCATCAGAATACTTCTCAATAATCTTTTCACTGGCCGCTTGGAAGACTTCGCCTCCAGCCTCAAGGGGTGTACATCTCTCCAGTCGCTGTGAGCCATGAAGAAAATTTAAGCATTTGTTACGATGCGACCCTGTAATCTGAGTAATGAACAACATCGCCGTTTAAGGGGTAATAATCTATACACTTGGCTGTAACAGGAGCACAATTAACTTCACAAGCAGTACCCTTGCCGCAAATTTGAAGGGATGGTTGGGGGCATGCAGTTAACTGGAAGGAGAGTTTGCTGCTCCCTCGGAACTATGACACATCAGCAAGAAGTGATGGTCGAATCGAAACTGAGTGCCAGTGGGAGCAGGTTCGGTTGGAGCAAGCCGCGGTTCGTCAGCCTGATTAAAAGTCGTTAATATGGCCACCAACTCTCCCGCCCTTCACTCGGCAGAACACTAGACGGCAACTATCTCTACGGCTCAGTCCCTTCGTACCTCGTGAATCTCCCAGCACTCATCCAACTGTGAGTAGCATCATGCTATTCTTTTCAATAAAACCCTTTCAGACCCTTTCCTTTCTCTCAACTGTGCTTGTTGTCTCCCCTCCCCTCACACACAACCCCTCGTCACATACCTTTTTTACCTCCCCTCTCCATCTCTTCAGAGGGATGAGGTTCAACTACCTCACTGGCAGCATCCCGACCCTGGGTACAGCCTTAAAGCAGCTCTACTTCCAAGGCAACTACATTTCGGACATTACCACCCATTCACTGAATGGCTGCAGCGGCCCTTCTAACTGCCTCTCCGATCCCTCCAAGTGCTCCAGTGGCGGAACCGTCCAATGATCCGCTGCTGAGTGCGCCATTTGTGCCACCACCAATGCCGTCGCTCCCTTGTGCTGGGGCGCTGGTGGGGAGTGCGTGGCCGACGCAGCTGCTAACATTGCAGCCAGCATACTAGATTTTCCAGGGGTCCAGCCTGTCCCACCCATGCTATGCTCGGGTAACGTGCCTTAACCCTCCAAGTGGGATCCACACTCTTCTTAGCCACCTCACGTCAGCGTTGGTGCAGTAGCCTGTAGGCTTGGGTGTGTCTGGGACTGGAATTTCGCATAGATGAATGTGCGTGGTGCGATTTAAGTGGTGTGTCTGTCAGGTTTTTTTCCATAATCGTTCGCCCTTATGTTTTTCTACATGATGAAGATGATGATTACGACGACGACAACGACGAGAATGATGATGATGATGATGATGATGATGATGATGATGATGATGATGATGATGATGATGATGATGATGATGATGATGATGATGATGATGATGATGATGATGATGATGATGATGATTTACTCTAATAATTATTCACTCACTCATCTCATCTACTACTCTCTGTATGGATGGGCCAAAACCTCCCTGTGACCTACTGTGCAGGCGGTTCTCTAATTGCCATGCCATCTACCAGCACTGCAGGTGTGTCGATGAAGGCTATTCCTTGGCTTGTCTTGTTATCCATGCACCATCCATAAGTTGTTAGTTATTTTGTTGTTTCTCCTTCTTTCTCTCCACTCTTTTCTAATCCTTGTACTTCTTTTTCCCCCTTCCAAATCTCCATGCTGTCCCTGATTCTCTACCCCCACACCCCCCCTCTCCCCCCCCACCCCCCTCCCCCTCCCACCCCCTATCCCCTCCCCCCTCCGTGCGCTCCCCTTCGCCAGCACTGCTGGCGCTCAAGTCATCGCTGGGCGTGACGTTCACCTCGTGGGCAGCAAGTGTGCCGTGCCAAGTGGTTGGCAAGCAGGCTGCGGAGCCCGCATGGTCCGGCGTGCTCTGTAGTGATTCTGGGGACGTGCTTTCCATGTGAGCGGCCATGCTTCAGCCATGCATGCTATAGCTTGGCACCAATCGACAATCTTCAAATGCTTTCAGATGCTTTCAAATATCTTTTGTCATTCTAACCTTCTACGTGAGCAGGCTGTTACAACGCTGAAAATCTCGTATATGTTTGCTTTGTAGCCTCCCTGCCTCTATTAACTTGCTTTCATTCCACTTCCTTGCATCTCCCATCACTCTCCCTCAGTTCGGTGGCGCGTCAAAGTCTAAAGGGGTCTATTCATGCGGACATCTCCAAGCTCACCGCGCTCACTTACCTGTAAGACATGAATGGGAAGTGCTATTTGTAAGGCAGAGCATGATTTATTGCCAAGGTAGTGTTGTTTATCAGGTTGGCGGTAAACTCTCTGGCTAACCTGCTAAAAATCTGGATATTGAACATATTTCGAAGCACACAAATAAATTCTCCCAAATCGTTCCAATTCCCAACCTACTCTAGTGACTTTGGCTACAACCTCTTCCAAGGCCGCCTTGACTCGTTCTCCGTGCCACTTAAGGATGTGCCCAGCCTCAAGGCGCTGTGAGTTCCAAACCTCATGCTTGGATGGCGCCTTCCCTACCAGCCTGTCACACATAAAGGAACTAAATGCTTCCTGGTTCATGTTCCGATGGTTCCAACTCTGTGTCTGATGGCGTTTTCACTTCCAGCCTCTCGTATATGAAAGCATAAAAAGCTTCCTGGCTCATTTTCCGTAGAAATTTTATAGTAAGGACTAACATCTGCCCTTTCGGGTATACACTTTTTAAAGGTAATTTCCCCTTTGATTCATCTTTCATGTCCCCTCACCCTTCCGTCATTTCCATCTCCTTTCCCCCCTCCAGTTTTTTCCACTACAACTGGTTTGCGGGATCCATTCCCTCCTTCATCGCCTCGTTGCCAAAACTCACCACGCTGTAAGCAGCACACACACAGCTTCAACGATTCATGCTTGCTTGCACGAGCTTCGTTGGTGACCTCTTGCACCTCCATCACACTCGCCCCTTTCTCCTTAATCGCTCTCCTCTCACTCACGTCATTCTCATTCGTCCTTCTTTTCCCACCTCATGCCTGTGTTCATTCGCTCCCAGAGGCCTCTTCTCCAACTACCTCACGGGCACCATGCCCATCCCCTCAACCACCCTGGTCGCTTTGGACGTGGGCTTTAACTTCCTCTCGGGCTCCTTCCCCCAACTCTCCCTCAAGAGCTGTTCGGCCGACCACAACTGCTTCCTCTCCTCCTCCTACTGCCGCTCCTCCGGTCTGCTGCAGCGCCCCGCCTCCACCTGTGCCATCTGCGGGTCTGACGACGGCCAGGGGGAGCTCTGCTCTGGTGGGGTGTGCGGCCCTGACAGTGCTGATGCAGTCAGTGAGGGGACTGTCAACTCCCCCACTCTGCCCATGGTCCCCATGAAGTGTCTCGGTGAGTGTGGCACTGTATGACCTTTTATCTGGATGAAACTAAACAGCTAGCCTATATGAGAGTTCATCTTTGCTGCTACAAGGTGTGTTAATATAAGGCCCAGTTGTGAATACTACTGGACAGTGCAGTAGCGATTTAGCAAGCTTCTAACTGGACATCCGTGTGGTGTGGAAAGGTCAGGGTTCTTGGTTCTGTGCAATACCAGCAGGGCCTATCTGGATAAACACTATTGCTCCCTTGGCGGGTCTGGTGCGAACACGCCCTGACAGGGGCGTGGCAATGATGTTAAAGTAGCAATGCAATGCAAAGACCGTGCAATGATGCCTGCTTTGCTCTCGTTCGAAGCCCTTTGCTCACAGAACGCTGGCTGGCTGCCTATCCGTTTGTGTGACTGCACCCTTGTGTGCGACTGCAACCCCATGTGTGGCTTACCCTTCCGTGTGACACCACCATTGCGTGTGGCTATACCTTTTTGTGTGACTCCACCCTTGTGTATGGCTGTACAGATTCGCCTGTGGTCACAATGGATACTGCCTCAGGTGAGCCTTGTTTTCTCAAAACACACTTCTATGCATTACCATTATGCCAAACCCCTCACCCCTCCATATTCCATGCACTCAACTGTTTGACCACTTATGCATATCTCCGTATTCCCCTTCAATCCTCCCAAGCATGCTCAATAACTCCCTCTTCTACTCTCTGTCCCACCCCTCACCCTCCTCCCTCCTCCTCCTCCTCCTCCTCCTCCTCCTCCTCCTCCTCCTCCTCCTCCTCCTCCTCCTCCTCCTCCCCCTCCTCCTCCTCCTTCTCCTCCTCCTTCTCATCCTCCTCCTCCTTCTCCTCCTCCTCATCCTCCTCGTCATCCTCCTCCTCATCCCCACCACAATCTCCCTCCATGTCTCCCCATCCCAGCATCGGCTCTACTGAACGTCAAGTCATTGCTGGGAGTTACCGACTCCACCTGGGTCGCCACCTCTTCTTGTACCACCGGTTTTACTGACATCAGCCCTACAGAAATCTGGAATGGCGTGCGTTGCTCCGATTCTGGGGCTGTCATGAGTGTGTGAGTACTAAAACCAACCACGATTGTGTGATGTTACTAAGCTGTTTGCTGTACTATTCGTAGGGTAACTACTATTAAGTTTCTAATGTGCCATGTAAAGGCCATGAAATGATGTTCTGCAGTTTCAGCACGGCTGGTCACCCCTGGTCCTGGATTATCCCAGCCGTCGGAAAAAAATTATTAAGGGCCTTAAAGTGCTGCATGGTCTGCCACCTTAGTGCCTTGGAGGGAGGCTAAATCACCGAGTGCCAAGTGGTGGTCTCTAATCTTCAATATCAATTCCTCTCTCCACATTTTATCCCCTCGTTTGATCGACGTGTCCTTTATGTTTGCTGTATGCTGCTCACTTCGCATCCCTTACTCCAACCTCCAACCTCCGCATCCCCACACTCTTCTTGGCTGCGTGCAGGAAGGTGACTTCGATGGCCCTGTATGGTACTGTGCATGCCGACATCTCCAAGTTGACTGCCCTCACATCACTGTCAGTTCCCCTCTTGTCTTTTCTACGTGACCTGACTCTTCAAATCATTCCTTCTCGTCCACTCCTCCCTCTTCTCTTGTTTCCCCTAATCCGTCTCATCTTCTCTCTCACCCTCTTGCGTGAACTTTGTGTACTCCTCATCCCCCCCATCTCCCGCTTCTGGATCCTTTTGCTAGGCCAGAGAACTTCGACTGTTTCCACAGTCCTCCCTTCGCGTTGCATTGTCACATCCCATTCCGTCCACCTGGAGCGTCTATTATTCCTGCTTTGAATCGAACCCCAAGGGTCCAATTCTCCACAAACAAAGATGTGCATGCATCCCACCAACCTGAGAATCTTGCTTCCATCGCACTGCCCGCCCCCCTCTGCCTCCTTCCCCTAATTTCTCAGGGATATATCTGGCAACCTCTTCCGCCAGAACCTCGCGTCCTTCACTTCTGGCTTCTCCAAACTCCAGGCCATCAAGCAGCTGTGAGTGGCGCATGTGCTGAGAATGACACAAGGCCACGTTGCTGTCAATTTCCTCATGAGCTCATGTATCCACCTTTATCGTGAAACACCACAGTTGAAGTATTCAAAGTCCCAGTGTTTCAGTCTGCCCGTTACAGCACCAACCTTCATCCAATATCTCACCACATATTCAGCGTTTTTGAGTGGTCGTATTTACCTGGGATCGCCCTCCACCTCTTCCAGCCTCTCACACAGCACAAGCACATTTCATTTCCTTCCAGCCTCTAACACAACTCCTTCCCCTCCATTCACTGCCTTTCCTCCCTTGTCTCCTTTGTCTACCTTCCTCATTCTTCTCCTTTGCCTTATTATGCTCCCCTTTCTCATTCTGCTCCCATTTCCCGTTCTGCTTGTTTGCCTCCTTCCTCTCCCTTTCCCGTTTCCTCTCCCTTGCCTCCTTCCACCCCCTTTCTTGATTCCTCATCCTCTCCTTGCAGCCATCTGAACAACAATTGGTTCGCGGGCTCCATCCCATCAGCCCTCGTCTCCCTGCCCACCCTCACCTATCTGTAAGCAACTCTACCTTTTCCACCCACACAATGCATTTGGCGCCTGTTTGTCACGTTAACGAATCTGCACGAAGACAAGGACTGTATGATGTGCCATTTCCATAAAACCACCCAGCACCCTACTCATCCACTTGGCCATTGTTTTGGAGCTAATCGCACAGAGAATCCGGGCGCACGAGACCGCACGAGCACGTGGTCATCTCTTATGCCACCAGAATATGGGTCCCAGCCTAATCCACAGAGTACACATCACATTACATCACTGGCTTATCAATCTGTAATCATTTTTATCTTTGTGAGCCGTCCATCCTACTAAGTATAACCACTTGCCTGAACCACCTGAACCACCTACTTCCAGGGACCTGCATGCAAACGCACTGACGGGAACGGTGCCAGCGCTGCCCACCTCTCTACTCTCCCTCGCCATACAAGACAACTTCATTGCGGGAAGCTTCCCTGCAGCTACACTGAAAATCTGTGACGCCAGTAGCAACTGCCTGGCGGATGCGAGCGAGTGCAGCGAAGAGAGCGCTGCGTCTCAGAGGGATGCTGAAACGTGTGCCATATGCGAGTCGCAGGACGGGCAGGGCTTGCTGTGCTTCGGAGGGTTGTGCCTGCCAGATGTGGATGGCAGCACCGTGCATGCGGACGACATGGACCCGCCTGACATGTACTGTGCAGGTGAGTTACTTGACTTGGCATGTGGTGTGCTGGTGGGTTATGGAACGTGCTGGTGAGTCATGGCACGTGCTGGTGAGTTGCGTCACACCGTGATGGGTCACACATATTCCAGCGGTGCTTAGTGTGCGTCATACAGTCTGGTGTACTGGAGAATCACTGTCATGGTTTTATCTGTCTATCCATCTGGAACCGATTTTTCCATCCATCTTCACTCTGTCTTCCCTCGCCGTCCTGATTCCTCTCGTCTGTCTCGCCTTTCTCCCTGCCACTGCCCACTGCAGAAGCACCGGTGGTCACAATCCATGCAATCGATGGTGAGAGAGTCTGAGAGACACATGAGCTCAGATGGTTGCAATCGTGTAGTGCTGTGACAAGCAATTTAGACCCTGGTGAATTTCTGCAATTCCACTTATTAATATTCCGTGCGGAATGTCTACTTACCACCACTCCTCGGCCACCCTTCCACCCCATCCATCCGACCATCTATAACTATCCTCTCTCTCAGAATTTCTGTCCTTCTCATCCTCCCATCTCTGCTTCCCCGTCTCTCTTCCCTCACCCCTCCTCGCCCCTCACCCTGACTCTCACAGCCCAAGCACTTCTTGCAGTGAAGGGCGCGCTGGGGGTGACCTTCACCACGTGGGGGCTTGACAAGCCATGCACCACGGCTTCTGTAGGGCCGGCCATTGAAGGCACCCTCACTGCTGTGTCCTGTGACCCTTTTGGCAAAGTCCGCACCTTGTGAGTCCTCGGCTCTCTCATTGCTGCTTAATTTCCTCCATTATAGGATCATTCCATTGCTGTGCTGATATTCCGCTGTTATGCTGTAGCACCTGCCCGCTGCTATCAATTTCCCTCGCCACCTTCCACATGCACTCTGTCCCTTCCAGGCAACTAAGGCGCCTCAACCTAGCAGGCACTATCCCTCGTGCAATCACCGATCTCACGGCTCTCACTTATCTGTAAGCATGCCTTGCTCTCTTGCTTGGCTGTCTCGTATGAATTGGCCCATAATAGTGGAATGATCTTTCCCGTCTGCTCCAATCATGTTCGCAGCATCTGCACCCCTCATTTTCCATGCTCTCGCTCACTTGTCCCTTGTTTTCCACACCCCCTCTCCTTTTTATACAACCCCCTCCCCCATTCACATTCACCTCCTCTCCCCTCGCTGCCAGCGATCTGAGCGGCAATCTCTTTCAGGGCCGCCTGGACGAGGTCGCCACACACCTTCGCCTTCTCACCGCCCTCCAATCCATGTGCGTTGCTCTCACCACCTGCAGTACAAGCTACAAATGAGTGATGAACCGACCTGAGGCCGGGTCGGGTCGGTTAGAGGATTTTGCCAACCCGACCCTGCTTCAAGGGGTCGGGTTGTGGTCGACCTGCCGAACCAAGCAGAGGGTTGGGACGGGGTCGGGTCAGCCTGAGGATTTGCCCGGCCCGACCCGACTTCAGAGGGTTGGGCCGGGTCAACCTGCTGACCCAAGCCGAAAGTTGGGTTGGGGTTGGGTCAATGTCATTGGTTCGAGGTTACTGGACCGGTGTGACCTGTTTTTCATGTGTAGTCCAAGCACTTGTGCACTAAGCACCTATGATCCACGCTCCCAAACTCCCAGTGTTATTTCTATCAGCAGCTTTTCTATATGCACCTACCCTGCCAGGTCCAGAGTCTGTTTGTCTCTTGCACTTGTGCTCAAACATGCTGCCTTGCACACCCCGAAGTCCTTACTGCCAATCATCCGCCTTGCTGTTGAGTTGACATCTTCCGTTCCCTGTGACCAACCATGCTCCCTCATTGCTGCCTCTACCCACCTACCTACCCCCTCTCTTTTGGCTTGCAGCAACCTCTCCTTCAACTGGTTCTCTCACACTGTGCCTGGATACCTTTTCGCTCTTCCCAATCTCTCCAGCCTGTGAGTAGGCACGAGCAGGGCATGCAACCAAACCAAACTGGCTCATATTTATACCCTTATAATGCGAAGCTGTTCGCTACCAATCCAAACAAGTTTGTGAACGAGCCGGTTCGTGGGTTTTGATTCAAGGTAATGAACAAAAACAGCTCGGCAGAACCGGTCAGTTTGGTACCGAACCGAATCAGTTTGGTACACCAGGGCCCTTTCACTAAAGTCATAACCAGTGACCATTAGCTGAAAACTAGAAGGAACCGTGGGAAACACACAAATGTTAGGTAGAAGGAGGCATCGTAAGATGCGAGAGTCTTGGAGCACGAAATGAGCTTCAACTCTCTTGGCACGAATTGCCAGTTTGCTTGGGTGGCCCGGCTAAATCGGATTGGTAACGAACCGAACTGGTTATGGTCACCCAAAAAAACGGTTCATATCGGATAGAGACCAACCCCAATCACAGTTCATTATTTTTGTGCATATCCACCTGTGAGTTTTAGCATCTTCATTCTCCACATGCTCGATATCTGCATCCTCTCAACTCACTGTGCTGATTTATTGATTTCCTCCAATCAACCCACGTATGCCTTCTTTACACTCCCTTCACCTCACTCCGTTCCCTCTCCTTTTTCCCCTCCCTTTCCTTGCCTGCAATCCAGTCTCCTTTCACCAATCTCTCGCATCACATATCAATCTTAAAAACCATATTAACTACTCATTTCCATGCTTTTACCCCCACCCTGCTCTTGCCACACCCCACCAGCGCGCTGGGCTTCAACTACCTGACGGGCTCGCTGCCTGGCAGCATAGCGGCGCCTCTCAAGGCTCTGGACGTGCAGTTCAACTTCCTTGCCGGCTCCTTCCCCGCCCTCGGCCTCGCCTTCTGCTCCGCCCGCATCAACTGCTTCACCACCACCGCCAACTGCAAGCACCCCACAAGGCCCGCTGAGATCCCGCGGGCAGCAGCTTCTTGCGCCATCTGCAACACCACGAATGCTCAGGGCAAGCTGTGCAGCAACATCATTGGTGGTGGGATCTGCAGTGTTGTTCCTCATCCTGCCCTCCTGCTCCCACCAGGCACACCCAACAGTGCCTCATCGCCCGTGCTCCCTCTGGTCTGCACCGGTGCTACAAGTGTGCCCATGGATGCAGGTCAAGCCGCTGCGCTGATGAATGTGAAGGTGGCGCTGGGAGTGTCGTTTCCAGACTGGCGGGTCGATGCCCTCTGCACCCTCGTGGGCTCGCCCTCCCCGGCTCCCGGCACGTGGAATGGCGTCGCCTGTGACGATTCTGGAAAAGTGCTCCGAGTGTGAGTCGCACCACTACGTTGGAGTTTAATAGTTGTGTGCGTACCAAGGCTGGCTGGAGGCCGTTGCATTGGAAGCATCGTGCATCCGCTCCTGCGTCCTCCCTCCTTCCCGTCTCCCAGTGCCAAACATTCAGCCACTGTTTGCCTAGCACACTCTGAGTTACATATATCACACATTGTTACCTCTTGTTGTGTGTGTGTCTACCACGTGCACTACCCTCCCTGTATGTGCTGCGTCCCCCATGTGCACCTCATTGCTACTACCACACGCAGGTCTCTCAAGGGGCAGGGCCTCACAGGGAGCATCCACTCGGAGATCTCCAAGCTCACCACCCTCACCGTGCTGTGAGTGCACATGCTCACCACCCTCACCGCTGGCACCTGCGATAAAATTTCCAGGATCCACACAATCTGTTAATTCATCCAGTCAATTTCAGGCAACGTCTCCTGATTTCTTTCTTCTTTCCGCACCCTTCCCCCTGCACCGTTCTCCTCGCACCGCTTGCCCTGCTGGCACGGCAGTGACCTGCAGTCCAACCTGCTGGAAGGCAAGATGGACGCCTTCACTGCCAACATCAAGGCGCCTCTTGTGCTCAAGGAGCTGTGAGCCTTCCCCCACCCACCCATGCGTACATACACCCATACACCCATCAAGTTCTGGCTAGGCATCAGGAAACTGGAAACTTAAACATGTCGAACATGTCGAAGTTGTTGTTGATGTTTCTGCTGCTGTTTTTTCTGCTGTTGCTGTTGCCGCTTGTTTTGTTGCTGGTGCTGCTGTTGCTGTTTCTAAGGCTGATGTTGTTGCTGCTGCTGCTGTTGTAGTTGTTGGTGTTGTTGCTGCTGTTGCTCTTGTTGGTGTTGCCGCTGTTGTTGGTGTTGTTGTTGCTGCTGTTGCTGCTGTGATGTAGCTGCTGCATCTGTTGTTGCCGCTTTTGCTGCTTTTGTTGTTGCTGTTTCTGTTGCTGTTGCTGTTGATTTGCTGTTGTTGTTGTTGTTGTTGTTGTTGTTGCGGCTGTTGCCGTTGCTGCTGATGATGATGTTTTGGTTTCTTCCTCATTGCTGCTTTTGTCGTGGTTATTGTTTTCTATTTTGTTGTGGTTCTTGTTGTTGTTGCATTTCTGTCCATTGTGTGTGCGTGCTGTGTGTGTGTGTGTGTGTGTGTGTGTGCGTGTGTGTGTGTGTGTGTGTGTGTGCGTGTGTGTGTGTGTGTGTGTGACTTTCGGCATTTGCTGTTTTTGTTTTTTTTCCGCTGTTGATGTACTACCGATGCACGGGGGTTTCCCTCCTTCGTCCTCCTTTCGCCCCCATCTCCTGTGCACCCATGCAGCTACCTGCAGTACAACTACCTCTATGGCGTCTTCCCCCCGACCCTCCTCACCCTTAAAACCCTCTCGACACTGTGAGTGATCATAGCATGATCACCACGTGGTGATGCTGATATGCTGAAGCAGGGCCTTTCACTCACCTGGGTGGGAGGGTTTGCTGAAAAGAAGAAGCAGAATCAGCCTACACCCAACGGCCTACACATTGTTGCAGTTAAGAGACCTCAGATGTTGATATGTTCCGCTGAACAACCCAGCTTTGCGGCCTTGCATCACCACAATAGCTCCTTTATTTATGATTCTCAGATAATACCACACTTCTCTCCCCCCACCTTCTTCCACCACCCCATCAGCTCCGTGGCCTTCAACTACCTCACCGGATCACTCCCCACCGCACTCCCCACCACGATCGCCTCTCTGGACGTGCAAAGCAACTTCCTGGCGGGTTCCGTGCCGGCCAACACCATCCCTTACTGCGCCAGCACGGGCAACTGCCTGGTGGACGCGTCCAAGTGTGCATCACTGGGACTGCCACAGCGCAGCGCCGCTGAATGTGCCGTCTGTGGCTCCACCAACGGCCAGGGCGCTCTGTGTGCTGCTGCCACCACCTGCCGGGATGCTGCTGCTGGGGCTGGGGTGACGACTCCCCCCACTGCGCTTTCCGCTAGTCTCCCTCTCTTTTGCGAGGCTGTTCCCATGGACTTGGTAACAAGTGAGTGTGCTCTTATGCCTTTTGTGTGAAACTCTGCTATCTCTGTATCCCTTATGCTCCCTAAATCTGCAAAAGTGACGGATACAGAAACGGGTGAGTGCCAAGGCACGGATTCCGATTTAAGATTTGTCGACAACTTAAAAAACAAAATTGCAGCGAGGGTTTCTTGAGATTTTGTGCCACGTAAAGGAGCCCTGAGGGCCTGGCTTTGAAGATAAGACACTCAAGATGTCGGCAGAAGACATGTGATGCCTGCTGCACACCACCTTCACTCTCCCCATCCATCAACCCCACACACCCCCCTCCTTCTCTCTGTCTGCCCCCCACTTCTGCTCGACTCACCCCCGCCTCTCCTCTCCCTCCCCTTTCTACCGACCTGCCCTCTCCCCCCTTTCACCCACCTCCCATGCAGCCTTTCCAGCCCAAACCATGCTGGCCATCAAGTCCGCACTGGGGGCAACGCTCACAGACTGGACTGCCACCCTGCCCTCGCCGGGCACGTGCACGTTGGAGGGGCAGACTCCTGGCCCAGGCGCATGGACCGGCGTCTATTGCAGCTCCAAGGGAGTGGTTGTGGGCATGTGAGTGCTGCGTGCTGTTATGCGTATGTCGGACGTTGATGTTGTGCTTCCGATTGAGCTTGATTGTGTTGCGTGGATGGATCGAGTGCAGAATTGCCCTTTTTTGCTCATTTGCTCACTCTTCCGCTTCATTGTGCTGCAGTGTGCTACCAAATCAGAAGCTGAGTGGAAGCCTCTCAACGGAAATCACCAAGCTCACAGCGCTCACCATGCTGTACGCCCTCCAAGTCCTTTCCTGTCGTACATACAAACACCCTGCCATGGTATTTTCTCTGTCCTTTTTCTTGTGAGCCAAACCCAGCTTACTAGCCCGTCTCCTCCCTCTTTTGCTTCAGCTTCTCTAATTTACCAATACGCCTGTATGCGTGTCCAATTTATGTGTATATGTTTGCTTGTGCATGTATGTATGTACATGTGTGCGCATGCATGTGTGCATGCATGTGTGCAGCGACCTGAGCTCCAATCTCTTCCAGCGCCGCCTGGATGTCTTCCTCTCTCTCGCCCGTCTCTGCCCTCAAGGCGCTTCAGAATCTGTACGTTCTACCATGGTCACTGCTCACAGGCGTTGTGCAGAATGCTCTATTTGTGTGGGTATAGGGTCAGTTTCCCACACTGTACGTATCCTGTGCTGTGTTCACTCACACCGATGTGCTTCTCTCGCTAATCACCACTCACACCGATTCCCCATGCTCCAATTCCCCTCATACCGATCCTCTCCACTCCTTTCTGCCGTGCCCCTCACATCTCAGTCACCTACAGTACAACTGGTTCTCCAGCTCCATCCCCTCCTCTCTCGTCGCCCTGCCTGCTCTCTCCACCCTGTGAGTCACCCCCTCTACACCCTTGTGCGTGACAGTTACTTTTGGTCCTCTGACTAACATGTTTCTTCATCCCCACTGGCCCCACTTCCTTCTCCACCCACTTAGGCCCTGCCACGGTGCCACCACCTGTTGCTGCAGCTTTCTCACTGCTTTCTAGACCTTCCACTCCCTTCCCATCAATCCGGCCGTCTCCTCCGTTTCCTCATCCATCTTCTTCCAGCCACCCTCCGTCCCCACCCCCCACCCCCACACAACCCCCCTCCCCAACCTTTCTCCTTGCCTCCCCCGACCCACAGCAAGCTGAGCCGCAACTATCTGACGGGCACAGTGCCGGCATTCAAGACGTCACTCAAGGCCCTCAACGTGGCCAGCAACCTGCTCTCGGGCTCCTTCCCCATCGCCACCCTCACCGCCTGCGATGCCCGCTCCAACTGCCTCTCCACCGCCACCAACTGCGCCAACGCTGCCGGCACGGCGCAACGGTTATCCTCAGAGTGCAGCGTGTGTGGGTCCACCGATGCTTCTGGCGTTCTGTGTGGGGGAGGGCTGTGCGCCCCTGATGCCTCCGCCCCTGCTGCCTCCTCCACCCCCAACACGGACGGCCAGCCGCTGCTGCCACTGAGCTGCCTGGGAGTGCCCATGGATGCGGCCATGGGGTTGGCGCTGCTGAGTGTGAAGGCATCGCTGGGTGTCACGTTCACGGATTGGAATGTGGATGCGCCCTGTGCACTGCCAGGGCAGGCCGTGGTGCCGGGCTCGTGGTCCAGCGTTGTGTGTGACGCCACCGGCAAGGTTCTCACCCTGTGAGTGCAGGGGGGTTGCCTGGTGTCTCTTGTGTGGCTGTGATGGGCTCTGGCTGTTCTTTTTTTAGAAGGTCTCACTTGTGTTTTGCCATGATACATCGTATCATATCCACAGTTCAATTTCATAAAGGTTTTCACTTGTGTTTTGCCGTGCGTGTAAGTTAACATGCTTTCATTGAACCATACCACCACCACCACCACCACCACCACCACCACCACCACCACCACCACCACCACCACCACCACCACCACCACCACCACCACCACCACCACCACCACCACCACCACCACCACCACCACCACCACCCTCACCCTCACCCTCACCCTCACCCTCACCCTCACCCTCACCCTCACCCTCACCCTCGTCCTCGTCCTCGTCCTTCGTTGTTGAATCCATTTACCCTTGTCGTCCATGTCGTCATCTTCATACACCCTTGCTCGTTAACCCATGCATGCACCACCTTGTTGTGCCACACACACTTGCAGCAAGTTGGGCGATCTGCTGCTGCCAGGATCCGTCAACTCCTCCGTGTCAATGCTCACCGCTCTCACCAGACTGTAAGCTACACCTTCCTCTTTTCCCATCCACTGCATTCTCACCTTGCATTCTGCAGTGCTCATTTAGTCGCATGCTCACACTATCACATGTTCACACACTCTCATTGTCACATGCTCACATGCTCACACAATCACATGTTCACACACTCTCACTGTCACATGGTCACATGCTCACACAGTCACATGTTCACACACTCTCATTGTCACATGCTCTGGGGTGCACGTGTGTGGGCTGTGCCATGCTGCAGCGAGCTGAACAACAACCTCTTCTCAGGCCGCCTGGATTCCTTCCTCACCCCACTGCTTCCCGTCAAGACCCTCAAAGTCCTGTGAGTTGCACTTGCTGGCACCCTCCCAACCACACTGCGACCCCAGCCACACTGCATCCCCAACCACACTGCATTACCCCACCGTATCTTCGTGGCTTCATGACTCTCTCAGGGCACCCATCCATGTCAAGCATGGCAAGCCACCGCAGCCCACCTAGAGCAAGCGATATCGTGTACCACATACTGTGTGATTCCGTCCGCACCCTCTCTTCCTAATGTTGCCCTCATTTCTTCCAGCCACGTGCACAACAACTACCTGTCGGGCGCCGTGCCTCTATCGCTCACTGCTCTCTCCGCCCTCTCTGAACTGTGAGCTCTCGTTTTTATTCCATGGTTTCTTCCTCTCCCTTTCTTTCTCCTCCACTCTCGAACAGCCCTTGTCATTGAATAAGGGGAACGGTACCGTAAGCGCAGGTATAAGAAGAGACTCAAGGTCATCTACTAGAAGCAGGAAGCAGCCACTTTCCGCCTGGCTGTAATATTAGCATTGCTGAATTTTCCACGCTCTATCTAGATTTGCCTGCCACAGCTATCTTTGTGGGTCGGGCAGCATTCCTGTGCACGCATGGTGCCATCATACAACACCCACCCACCATGTGAAATATCTTCCCCTATACCCTTCCCCTTTGCAGCAAGATCCAGGCCAACTACCTGACGGGCAGCATGCCGGCAGCGCTGCCGGCGTCCCTCAAGTACCTGGACGCATCAGGGAACTACCTGGTGGGAACGTTCCCCACCACCACCACCACCTACTGCAGCTGCGCCAGCAACTGCTTTAAGGACAGCACCAAGTGCACCAGCGGCAGCACGCAGCGAGCAGCAGCAGCATGTGCCATCTGCGGCAGCACCAACGGCACCGGGGCGCTCTGTGATGGCGGCCCGTGTGCTCCCAGTTCGACGGCCCTGATCGCAGCAAAGACTGTGAATACGGGGACGGCTGAGATGTACTGTGCGGGTGCTCCCATGGATGCTGCCATGGGTGAGTGCAGCGAGCAGTGAAAGGGAAGGGTGTGTGGAAAGGGACATGTGCGAAAAGGGCTGCATGAAAGTGAAGTGAAGGCTTGGTGGAGACATGTGCGATTTTAATAACACATATTATCCAACCCCATGTCAAACTACCGCATCGTATCACATCACATGTCACCTTGTTTCATAAATCAAACACATTCCCATTTTCGGTGTCTTCCCTGTCTGCACCCCCCCTTCCTTCACAGCTACGGCGCTGCTCAATGTGAAGGCATCGCTGGGGGTATCATTCACCAACTGGGCGGTGAGCTCACCGTGCGCCGTGGAGGGAGTGGCAGCGCCGCCAGGCGCGTGGTCCAACGTCCTCTGTGATTCCACCTTCAAGCCCGTCTCCCTGTAAGTTGGTTGATCCTCCCTTCATTTGCCCATCCTCACAGTCAAGATTCGTGAAAAAGAGGTTCACAGTCAGCCTGGACCGGTCTCTAGACTTGAATCGCATTTCGCAGTGCTGCTGCTTCTAAGGTTTGAGTCAGATTTTTCTCAAGTTCACCTGATGTTTGAAACGTTGAGTATTGATTCATTTGAGTTCCTGACGTTTTCCACGATAGCTGCTGAACCACTCCACATCCCTTTTTCTATTCGATGAATGCATATGTTTTACCTAGATCATTGCTGCCTGTGATTGAGTTTGCTGCTTGTGGCTGTTCGTGGCTGTTGTTGGATGAGCAGCAAGCTGTCCAGCCTGAAGTTGACGGGGAGGATGCATTCGGATATCTCCAAGCTCACCACCCTCACTTCGATGTAAGTTTCACTTTTGTTGCGCCTCAAAGGTACATCCTTCCGACCTCACTGCAGTGCCCTCACCACCATGTAAGTAACCATGCCTTTCATACCTTTTTTGTAATGTTGTGTCATCCATACTCCCCGCTACTCTGTCATTGTTACACTTTAATATCTGAGTGTTCTCCCCTTACCCCTCTCCCATTACAAACCGCGATTACCACACATACCTGTTGTGTCTCTTCACGATTTCAGTGATCTCCACAGCAACCTATTGCAGGGTCGTCTAGATGCATTCACAACCGACTTCAAGGCACTCAAAGCCATCAAGCAAGCGTGAGTGGCGTGGCCGTAGCTTCCCCTTGCAGAGCAGAACACAGCGTGTGACTCCTGGATGGAAGGCATGGTTGTTTCACATGGGGCTGCCTGCATGAATGTTTAATCATCTCGCTCCTCCCATGATATCTCAATGGCCTCCTGTTTCCTTGTCTCCCCTTTTTTTCTTTACTCTCCCTACCTCTTCCCTCCTCTCCCATCCTCTCCTCGTCCCCCCACTCTCTCCTCCCGTCACGTGAATCCTTCTCAATCTAACTTGCCCAAACGTAATCCCCGCCTCCTTCTATCCTATCGCTTCTCCCATGGCAGCTACTTCAACTTCAACTGGTTCTCTGGGTCCATCCCCTCTGCCCTTGTGGGCATCGCCTCCCTCACATCATTGTGAGACCTGCCTTGCCTTCTGCCTCTCAGCCATTCGCTCCTGCTGCCTCATTGACTTCGCTGCTGCTGCCTCGTTGCCTTGGCTCCTGTGGCATTACTGCCTTTACTGCTTCATCCCCACTGCATTTGTGCTCACTTTCACGCACTCTCAGACACTTTCCCAGCCCAATATGTCATTCTTTCCATTCCAACATCACTATATTCACCTCCTCTTCAGCGGTGCGAGCTACAACTACCTGTACGGCCCCGTGCCCAAGCTCGGTGCGGCTCTCAAGACTCTTGACCTGCGGAACAACTGGCTGTCCGGCACATTCCCCGGCACTGGCTTCCTCTCCTGCTCTGCCTCCTCCAACTGCCTCGCCAACACAGGCGCATGCAACACCACAGGCACCACGCAACGCCCATTGGCTTCTTGCGCCGTCTGTGACTCTCCCAAGGGCACCGATCCCATCTGTGCCGGCGGCACCTGTGCTCCCAACACTGCCGGCCCTCTTGCCTCCTCCACCACCCCCACCACCTCATCTCCCATACTCCCGCGCTTCTGCGTCGGTGTACCTTTGAATGTAGCGCAAGCAGCTATTCTCCTCTCAGTCAAGTCAGCTCTCGGGGTCACCTTCACCCAGTGGTCTGCCAGTATCCTTGCAGTATCCCCCAAGGCAACGTCCTTTACCAGAGAGATCAGCAACGGGCCAAAGGCGTTGGAGCGGCGGCGCTTGGCTGGGAACGGGTCGGGCAGGGAGAGGCTGCTGAAGGTGACTCCGCAACCACCTTCCGGGGATGCGGGCATGTGCACGATTCAAGGCCAGACGCCCGTCCCTGAATCCTGGCCGGGCGTGTTCTGTTCTTCTTCCGGCATGGTCGTCGGCCTGTGAGTGCTGCCACTCCACTCTCCAGAATTTCCGCTGCTGATGCTCTGCTTTCCATAATTGTAAATTGCGTGGCCTGTGTGTGCGACATGTTGACCGCCGCTGTCCTCATGCCTGACTCAAAGCAACCGCTCCCAAGTTGGAAATCCCAACGTCCTGTGCCCCTCCTTCTGCACCTGTTTCTCCCTCTGCCTCTGCTGCCCCTTCTGTCCCCACGCCCCCCTCTGCCTGGAGGACAGGGATCTTCGGAGTTTCCTGCTGCGAGGTACCGTGCACGCAGACATCTCCAAGCTCACCACACTCACCGCGCTGTAAGGCCTGGCTTGGGAGTGGGGGTCTGAGCTAGGATTATAGAGTATGGTTACCAAGAAAGCTCAACCACTGTGGTGTGACACATCACATCAAGCAGGAACACTACATGTGACAGGTAAGGAGTGCCCTTAAGCAGGGGGGTGCTGGTGGTTAAGACACGAAAGGACTGGAACCGAGTGCTCTGTGTGCTGGGAGGCAACATGCTACTCGCAATTTTCACTCATTCGCATTCTCCGCCACAGCCGTCTATCTCACTGCCACGGTTTCACAACATTATCCCATGGTTCCCATTTCAATAATCACCCCACTCTGCACAACCCAGCCCCTCTCCCACTCTCTATGGCTCCTCCATTCTTTCCCTCATGTGTTCTCCCCCATGTGTTCCCCCCATGTGTTCCTCTTATGCGTTCACCCCTTGCACAGCTACCTGTCATCCAACCTCTTCTTCCAGCGTCTCGACTCCTTTGTGTCTCCTATCCTGCCCACGGCCTCTCTCAAGGACCTGTGAGTGCCTCTAATGCCCACGGCCTCTCTCAGGAACTTGAAAGTGCTGCCATCCACACGTCAACACGAAGTCGTGTGTGTGGCTCCTGTCTTTACTCATTCCAAATCCTCCTTGGAGGATTTGTGAGTGCCACCAATCCCATGCACCCAATCCAGTCGGCCCTGTATTTTTTTTTTCAGTAGGTTCTTTGCGTCAGTAGTAACCGCTGTGCTGTGTATGCAACCCCGCCTATACCAGTATAGGGTCACAGACCTGTATATGGTCACACAGACCTTATAGATTGGGTGTTTCAGGGAGAATCAAGTTGTTGCGTCTCATTCAGCCCAGCCCGATCTTCCTTTATCCCAAGTGCTGATGCATTGTGAGCCTCCTCAAGAACTTCTTAGCACCTCCTCGGCTACGCCGTACTCGCGGTTGTGCGTGTCTTTCGCTACTGCTTATCTACTTGTGCGTTGCTGTTAAGCTGGCATTATCTTTTTCTTATTACCCCTGCCCCTTGATGCGGACTTTTGGCTGATTCTTGTGTGCATGCGTACGTGTGCATGCGTGTGCGCGTTTGTGTTGTGCATGCATGTGCACGTTTGTGTTGTGCATGCGTGTGCGCGTTTGTGTTTTGCATGCGTGTGCGCATTTGTGCGTGCATGCATTGCTGCATGTCTGTCTGTCTCTACGAGTCCCACCAGGGCTGTGAGCTTCAACTGGTTCTACGGCTCTGTGCCAACCAAGCTCCTGACCATGGCCACCCTCTCCAATCTGTAACAGCCCACACCTAATCGCATCTAAACCCCCCTGTCCTCTTTGCAAACGACGCTTCAATCTAATTGGAAAACCCGCAAATATATATATATATATATATATATATATATATATATATATAAAAATCGAAAGGAAATATGAGAAATCGCTCACATGAAAACAAAAAAAAAATAATCCTCTTCACTCAATTATCTTCTCCCTCCTACATCATTCCTTTCCATTCCTTTAAGTTCTGTCATACTTTCCCCTTGTTCACACTTGATGATCATCAACTCTCTTCCTTTCTCCCACCTCTTCACTCTCTCCCTCCTTTTCCCAACCGCCAGTCGCTTCAGCTATAACTATCTGACAGGCTCCCTGTCTAAGCCCGGTGCCACCGTCAAGGTTATCGACACGCAGGCCAACTTCCTCTCGGGCACTTTCCCCACGGCCTCACTGGCCTGCAACACTCGCCTCAACTGCTTCTCCAACGCCTCAGGCTGCTTCAACCTGGATGGAACGGATCAGAGGACAGCAGCAGAGTGCAGCATGTGTGGGTCACCACAGAAGACGCAGGGGCTGTGTGGAGGTGGCACCTGTTTGCCTGTCCTTCCACCTTCCCTCGCTAAGGTTCCCAACAGTGCTGCTGCTCCCACACTCATGATGACATGTGCTGCCGTGCCTCTTGATGCAACCTCTGGTGAGCCCCTTACCTTCCTTCCCTGCAGTTACACGTGACTCCATGGAGGAACCTGTTTTTCTAATTCCTGCTTGCTTGCCTTAACATGTGCTGTCATGATTCTTGATACACCTCTCAGGAGCCCCTCTTTATAAAGCCATATGTGGATCCCTTCCCTCCATGTCGCCACTCATGGTTCTGTATATTGTAATGTGCCACCACCCATCACCACCAGCCACTCTTCCTTAGATGGAATTCCATTCACCATGCTGCACGTCTGCAAGTATCCACTCACTCCGCATCCTTCCCCCCTCGCCCCTCCACTACACTCCCACCGGCAGTGGCGGCACTGTTGAAGGTGGGGGCGGCTCTCGGGGTCAGAGACATAGACTGGCGCAACGGCAGCAAGTGCAACATTGAGGGGCAGAGCGCCAACCCCAAGTCGTGGCCGGGCGTGTGGTGCAGCGCCAACGGCACCGTCCTCTCCATGTGAGGCTCCACTGCCCTGATGTTAAATCTTTCTTTAATGGTCCTACATTGAGTATCTGTGTTGTCCATGCCTACAATCAACCCCATGCCTCATGCTCTCCCTATGCATTCTGCTATCCCATGGCAGCACGTTGGCCAACAAGGCACTGAGGGGCATCATCCATGCCGACATCTCCAAGCTCACTGCCCTCTCCTACCTGTACGCCCCAACCTTCAACCTTAACCCCATGCTTCCTGGAGTGTAAACAAGCACATTGTCCCTTTCGCATACTTGTTACGGTCGTCTCGGAGCCTGCACACCTGGGTCCACTGCTCAGCCTCTATTTCAACCCCTGTTGTGCTCTTCACTTTCAACATCTCACCCCTCCTCTCGCTTGTTCTCTTTTTTTCCTCCTCTCCCACCCGCACTCGCAGCGATCTGTCCTACAATCTCTTCTCTGGTCAGCTCTCCAAGTTCGTCTCCAACATGCTGCCAGTCACCACCTTGGCCACTCTGTGAGTTGCCTTTGAGAATCTCCTGAAGTCTCACCAGCATGGCCACTCTGTAAGTTTACTTCTATGCAGCGAACTGGCCCATCACAGTCTGGCCCCTCGTTTACCTCGCCACTGCGCTACTTCTCGCTCTAAATAACTCGCATCCTTATGTGCTCCTCGTGTGCTTTTCATCCATGTGACGGGGATTTTTCAGGAACCTGAACTCGAACTATCTCTACGACAGCATTCCATCGGCTTTGGTCAACATGCCTAAACTCACAGAACTGTAAGTTCTGCCAAACCCACTCTCATGCCCACACTAATGCGCATGCTTCATGCATGTGCTATGGCATGCCCCACGCCTAAGCCACAAGACCGTGCCCCACTCCTGATCCAATGCCCATGTAGCCATTCCTATGCCCACTGCCCATACCCCATGACCATTCCCGTACTCATTCCCATCCCAATGCCCATTCCCATGCCCCTTCTTGTTCCTGTGACCGTGCCCATACCCATGCCCATTGCCCTCATTCCCCTCATTTCCTGCGATTTTCTCCTTTTCTCGCTTCACCTCACCCCCCTCGTTCCCCTCCCCGCCTCACAGCCGTGTGGGGGCAAACTACCTGACGGGAACGCTCCCAACCATCTCCAAGCAGCTGCAGGTGCTGGCCATCGCCAGCAACCTCCTGGCGGGCGCCTTCCCCACGCAGCCCTTCCAGCTGTGCGACATCCGCAGCAACTGCCTCTCCTCGCCGGGCTCCTGCACCAACGATGCCGGTGTGGCTCAGCGCACCTCCGGCTGTGCCTTCTGTGGTTCCGCCACGGGCGCCCCGCCTTTCTGTGCCGGCACCACCTGCACTCCCGATGTCGCTGCATTCCTTGCTGCTGGCACTGTAAACAGCCCTACTGCCGCCCTCCCAGCAATGTTCTGCGACGCCGTTCCAGTGGATGATAACTCTGGTGAGTGGGAATTTGTAGCCTTGAAAAAGGATGAACTGTTTGGTGTGTGTGTATGGGGTAGTGGTATCCAAGGCTGTGTATCACAGGTGACTTTTGAATGGACGGACTAGCACTGTAGACAGCAGCAGCACTGAACTCTAGAACTTGGTCAGAATCGTACTCTGACTCGGGCTTGCGTCGATTGTGTGCCTTCGTCTCGCTCCGACGTCATAAACGTAGCTGGATTGCAACATCTCCCATTCTGCTCCCTGCAATGCACTTTCTTCTCTCCTCACTGATGCACCCGGTCCTTTTTCCATACCCCCCTCTGCTCCCCCCAGTGCTGGCGCTGCTGGCACTGAGGGCGGGGCTAGGCGTGAGTGCAAGCAGCTGGGCGGTGGACTCGCCCTGCACGCTGGCGGGCAACGCCCCCGCGGTGGACAGCTGGACGGGCGTCGTCTGCGACCTCTCGGGCCAAGTCCTTAGCCTGTGCGTGCGCGAATGATGCGTTTGATGCTATATTTGGGGGTGTGCTATATGTGTGGGCTATGTGGATGGGATGGGAGATGAGCGTGGGTTTTATGGATGTGATAGTGGATGTGCATGTGTTGTGTGCGTGCATGTGCTATGTGCATGTGTGTGTGTGTGTGTGTGTGTGTGTGTGTGTGTGTGTGTGTGTGTGTGTGTGTGCTATGTGCATGTGCATGTGCATGTGCATGTGCTATTATGCTATTTCTCGAATTCTCGGAAGATGCTTTCCACATTCACTTCCCTGATGCGAACACCATGCCATGCCCCCTCAACCTCACAACCTTGCATTCTCCATGCCTGCCCTGCCCGCTGCACCGCTGCTTGATTCTTCGTCTTTTCTTTGGTGTGACTTGGCATGGGGTTGTTGACGTCACAAAAGTGATCTTTCCAACATGAAGCTTCGTGGCAGCTTGCATGCCGACATCTCCAAGCTCACTGTGCTCACCAACCTGTGAGTGCTTCTACTTTATCCAACACATGGGCCAGCATAATCCATCCTTTATCTGTGCTGCATGTCCGTTATGCCCCTTCCATTGTGCTTCCCACAGCATGCTACTCCTTGTTCACCTAACAACACTGCAAGCCCCCTCCCAACCCTTCACCCACATCCACCTCTGCTCACCTCTTCGTACTTCTGTGGCCCCGTGCCTCCGCCATGCCTCCATACCCCCATGCCCCTGTGCCTGCAGCAACGTGGCGTCCAACCTTTTGGATGCGCGCATGAGCGAGTGGGCTCTGCCTCTCACCGGCCTCAAGGCACTCAAGCAACTGTCAGTCCTGCACGCCTGCACAGCCCGCCTCTACCACACCACATAGCTAGCAGCCTTGCACAGCATTCTTCACACCAGGCTCTTTTTGCTGCGTGCTTGCACGCAGACTAGGCCAGGGCAGGCCAGACCCGATAAATTCCGGCCTCAGAGGGCAATGCCTTGAGTCCCACCGTGGGGGTGCCTATACTGTTCCCTCTCCTTTTTTTTGTGTGTGAATTTCCAATTGTGCTTCTCTTCACTTGCGTGACTTTTTTCTGTGTCACCTTTCTCGTGTGTGACTTTCCTGTGTCACCTTTTCTCCTGTGTGACTTATCAGTGTCACCTTTTCTCTTGTGTGACTTTGTCTTCCTCTGCCACCACCCTCCAGGTCTCTCAACTACAACTGGTTCTCTGGCCCTCTGCCCTCATTCCTCCTCACCATGTCCTCCCTCTCAGCACTGTAAGCATCTCTCTCTCAGCGATGTAAGCACCACAACTTGTGCAACCCAACTACCATACGCACACATGCACTCCCCTTTCATTGTCGATCACGACACTTTCTCATTCATAATCACGAATTTTGGCACCCGGCCCTTACTCCACCACGTGCTTCCTTACTCATGCCTCGCCTTAATCTCCCCCATTTTCTCTCTCCATCTGCCCCCCTCACCAGCAACGTGCAATTCAACTACCTCGCTGGTCCCATCACCGGCACTCCCTCTGCCTCCCTCAAGTCCCTCAACGTCGCCTCCAACCTCCTCACAGGAGCCTTCCCAGCGTCTTCCACCACCGCATGTGATGCACGCAGCAACTGCCTAGCAGACTCCTCCAAGTGCCTTGCCTCTGGCTCCTCCTCCCAGAGGCTCGCCTCTGACTGCAACGTCTGTGGTTTGGGGAGTTCCAGTGCGGTTGTGTGCAATGGAGGGGTGTGCACCCCTGACACTACCGAGCCAGTGGCAGCACTCACGCCTAATAGTGCCTCTGCTGCTCTTCTGCCCATGCAGTGCTCGGGTGTGCGCATTGACGCCACTGCAGGTGTGTCTGGTGCCAGTATAATTATCTGAATCGTTTTTTCCTTGCTTTCCACTGTATAATTTTGCTGCTCTCAATGGTCCTTGCTTTGATAAGGGCGTGTAGAGACAGGCATGCATCGTGATCATGTGGCAAAACAGATTACACATCAAGAGATAACCAAGCATATCAACAGGAACTACCCACCAGCCGAGTCCCTTTGGGGAGCTGCTCTCTCTTTCTCTTTACTCCCTCTTTCTCAAGCACCGTTCCACTCCCAATCCTTCCCACCATTCTTCCTCTCCTCCCCGCGCCTCTTCCCCACCCTCCAGTGTCGGTGCTTGGGAGTCTCAAAGCGGCTCTGGGAGTACCTCTCCCGGACTGGGGAGTGAACTCCCTGTGCACGGTGGTCATTGTTGTTTCCGGAGTCAGCAGCTCCTCCCCTCGCCCGAGGGACTTGGGAGGCGTGCTGTGCAGCCCGGCCGGTGCTGTGGTGGAGATCAACCTCATCACGCGCCAGCTAGCTGGGTCCATGCATGCAGATATCTCCAAGCTCACTGCGCTCACTGCCCTGTAAGCCCACTGCAGCCCACTGCTCTGTACACTCGCTATCACTCTGTAAGGCCCAAGCTGCAGAATATTACTGTTTTGATATATATAGCACAAGTGGTATCGTATCACACAACTGGTATGATTCCGGGTGCTCTTTTCTGTCTGTTTCAAAAGTTGGTCATTCGTTTCACACCGGGGACGCACAAAACCGTTCTGTTACAGTAAAGGGCCGTCTATTCCATGACTGTAAAGAAAAAAATATATCTCCTACAGACCATACTTTTATCCTGGTAAGCTCACTGCTTTGGTGACCTGGTAAGCTCACTGCTTTGGTGACCTGGTAAGCTCACTGCTTTGGTGACCTGGTTAGCTCACTGCTTTGGTGACCTGGTAAGCTCACTGCTTTGGTGACCTGGTAAGCTCACTGTACGCCCACTACCTTCGGCAAAACCAGGCTGCCCCCATCTCCATTTTCCGCACATCCTTCTCCGCATCGAACATGCCTATCGGTCTGCAGCTCTCCCCTTCCTGCGTTTCCCTCTTCCTGCATTCCCACGTCATCCTTTCCACATAATGCTGTTTCTGCAACTAATTCCCAAGTGTCACTCTCTGACCCCCCCTCCCCCCCCCCCCCCCCCCTTCTTTTCTTCCCCAGGGCTTTCTACTCAAACTTTCTGGCTGGTCGCCTGGATGCTTTCACTGCACCTTTCACCGCTCTATCCAGCTTAGAGAATCTGTACATACTTCTCTCGAACATTCTTTTCTGGAGTTCGTAGTTACGTTACTCTGAATGCATGGTGGTGGAAGAGAAAATTAACTGGGTACAGAAAGCTCCTAGCTACCATGTCCGATGTCTCTCGAGAAATGATTGCTCCTCCGCATCACACCCATATGCACCTTCTCCCTGCAAAATTCATAATATGGAGCACACCTCCTGTCGCTGTTTTCTTGTTCCTTTCACATTATTCGCCTGGCTCCTTCCCATCCATTTCCCATCCACCTGCTCATCCACCTGTTCGCCCCACCCTGCCCATCCACCTTCCTCTTCTCTGTGTGCCATGCAGCCAACTGCACGACAACTACCTCTTTGGGCCCATCCCCTCGGCTCTAATCGGTCTCAAGAGCCTCTCCAAGCTGTGAGCTCACCACACCATGCCATGCGATGCCGTGGCATGCCACGCCATGCCAAGCCATGACATGCGATGCCATACCATTTTGTGTTACTGGTGTCGTTCCATACCATATGCATGCCACTTCACCTCCTTTCTTGCACTCATGGCTCGTCCATTCCTCCTCACGAGATAATCTCTATCTCATCGGCCCATTCGTGCTGCACCAACCGTACTGGATATCTGAGTTTGGTTCAAAATACTAACCTGCAGCTGCCTGGGTTGTGCCTACTCGATCGGAGATCTGCTGCGTTACCTATCGACTAGACTCATTTCAAAGCAGCTTCACCCCCCCAACGCGTCATTCCACAGGAGTCTGGGCTCCAACTACCTCACTGGGAGCGTGCCAGTGCCAGGCACTGCCATGAAGCACCTGGACCTCGAAAACAACTACCTCGTGGGAACCTTCCCAGCAGGCTCCTGGCTGTCCTGTTCGGCACGCACCAACTGTTTCTCGAGTGCTGCTGCTTGCACCGCCGACGGAGGCAAAGGGACTGTTCAGAGAGCCACGTGCAGTATCTGCGGCAGTGCTGATGGCACGGGGGTGTTGTGTGGCGGCGGTGGTGCGTCCACCTGCCAGCCCACAGCTGCTTCCCTCGCGTCCCTCTCCACGCTCAACAGCCCCTCTTCCCCTGCACTTCCTCTGGCGTGCTCCTTGCTGCCGGCTGTACCCGTCAACTCTACTGCCAGTAAGACACCCCATTGCATGAGCACGGGCATGACATCACCTGGTCGAAGACGGACACAGGCATGGGCACGGGGAGAATGGCACGTCCCACTCTGCCCATTCAATCTGCAATTAACAATCTGCACCTTTGTTTCTCATTCCGAACACACCCTCCACGCTCACTAGCCACTTCCCCCTTCGCCATTAGAAGCTTCCAGTCCAATCCCCACTCTTTTCATCGTCCCCTCCCCCTCCCCTCCCCCCCCCCCCCCCACCTACAGTGGCGACGCTGCTGAGCATCAAGACAGCCTTGGGAGTGACGCACACAGGGTGGGCGGCGAATGCTGTCTGCACGCTGGCAGGGACAGCTGGCACTGTGGCGAGTGGGAGCCTGACGGGTGTGGAGTGTGACTCGGCTGGCAACCCCATCAAGATGTGAGCACATGATTCCATGTTCAAAAGAACCCTCGTTTTTTGGATGAATGAAGCCTAGAGGGATTCGCAACTTGTGCGCAAACATCTTATGAGATTTTTTCAAAGCTGCTATCTAATGAAGAAAGTGAGGTATGAAGAGGGCAAGTTGTTAAGAAGAGATGTGGTGTGGGGAGTACATAGTGTGAGCAGTATTGAATATAAAGAAAACGCCCTCCCCTACTGCTTCGTTTCCTGCTCTTCCCCTTTTCCTTACCTTGGAGCTCCTTTGCCTACATTCTGCATCGTCTCCTCTGACTCCTTCCTAGCTCCTCTCGCTCCAAATATCTCCCCCTTCTCCTTTCTTCCCGCCCACCTGTGCCAGCACTCTCAACAATCAGCAGCTGTTCGGAGTGCTCCCTGCTGATGTCACCAAACTCACAGCGCTGACTTACCTGTGAGTGCACACATGCACACAAGACTCTAATGCTTGGGAGCAGCTTTCCATGCATATAGCACATGTAAGCATGCGAAGGTACAGACGTAAGCTATCAACCAGGTGCATACGGTTGTCATTTGCATAAACGAAACAACCAGATTTAGTACATATATTAGTCTGTTACAATTGATTGTACTTAGGCAGGCTACCGTAGCTAAGACCCCACATGAACACGCTTTCATCTAACGGCCCTTCTCCCTCCCCCCTATGTGCCCCTTCTGTGGCCTTCCTTTTTATTATGCCCCCCCCTGTACCCCCTCTCTGTCGCCCCTGTGCTCCCCTAACAGCAACCTGCAGTCCAACCTGTTCAGGGCACGCATCGAAGATTTTGCACTGAGGCTTCCTGCCCTCACCAACCTGGCAGTGCTGTGAGTCCCTCACGATCCTCGCAGTTTTGGGGTTTGCTGTACACGAGACTCCACACTGAATTCCTGCCCTTCCACAACGAGGCAATGCGCTCCTTGCCAGCCTCAGAGTACTCTTCTCCTCGCTTTTCACTTGGTGACTTGACGGGCATTCTACATTGAGCTTGAGGTTTCTCTGTGCGCCCTTAGAAGCGCTCCTACCTATAATGTTTCTGTTATTTCCCCGTCTTACATGTTTTCCCTCTGTACCCTCTGTCCCCCTCTTCCCCCTCTGCCCATTCTGCACCCCTTTGCGACCCTCTCCACCCCTCTGCATCCTTCTGCGTGCACCCACCCCCAGCCTGCTGGACTACAACTGGTTCAAGGGCTCGCTGCCCCCGCCTCTCCTCGCCATGACCAAACTCACCCGCCTGTCAGTGCCATGCCCATACCCCATGCCCATGTCCCATGTCCTAATGCCCTAGTTCCTCATATACTTCATGTTCAATGCCCCACGCTCACTAAACCATGTCCCATGACCCTAAGCCGCTAAACCATGTCCCATGCCATTCCCTTGCTCCCTAACGATTCACGACAAAGTAGAGGGCACACAATCTCACCCAAATCCAACTCCTCCATATAATAACCGGCTTGAGTCTAATCTGCTCATCTGCCTCTCAGAATCCAAGTGGCAGTGCATTCCCAAACATATGCCTGTCCTTCTCACGACCCTCCCTCCTCCTCTCTCCCCCACCCACCCCCCCTCTTACCACCCCCTCTCCCCCCCACCATCCTCTGTCAAAAATAACACGACCCAGGAGCATGGCGTACAACTACCTGACATACCGCGTGCCACCGGTGTCAGCATCGCTCAAGGCAATCGTCCTCTCCAACAACTTCCTCTCGGGCACCTTCCCTGCCAACTCCGCCACCTCCTGCGTCTCTGCTGCCAACTGCTTCACCAGCGCCACTGCCTGCAACACTCCTACCGAGGGGGGCGATACGGCACAGCGAGCGTCGGGGTGTGATATCTGCGGCAGTGCGAGCGGTCAGGGCATGCTGTGCGGCGGCACAGGGGTGTGCACGCCCAATGCTGCTGCACTTTTCACCGCCAAGACGCCGAATACTGCTAGTGCTGCTTTTCTCCCCATGGCTTGCGTTGGTGAGTGTTACTCATGTCTTCTGAACATCTGACGGCACAAAAAGGGATGAACTTAGTTCACTTCGGTCGCTTTGCCAACATTCGCTGCTTGTTCTCACATTATACTTGCCTGAGTGTCGTCTCCCCTGTTCTCCCTTCTTTTGTGCCCTGGTCCACAGACCTTGTGTGTGCTGCAGCTGCACCTGTTGCCTGCCCCACTGACTGGCGCTGCCAGGGTCTGAAGTGTGCAGCACCTACCGTTTCCAACTGTGTCGGTTACCTCTGCACTCCTTAGACGTGTTAATGCACTTCCCGACCTCCCTTTGTTTGCTGGACATTGTGATTGGAGAACACTATGACGAGCTGCGAACGCTAATGCTCTGGTGGCAACATAAATCTTGGTCTGGAAAAATATGGACCTTGTGTGAATTTAATATTTATGATCTTTGCTAATTCGTCCATTCACTGTTTGTTTTGATTTCTTTCCATTACCGTATCGTTCATACGGCACTGCGGTAGTGGTTTTGATTAATATATGTTTGCGGTGACAAAGTAACTTCTATGCACATTTGATGGAATCCACAAGGTTAAAGCCCGCATGCAAAATAGTGACCCCCCCCTTCTAGTTGGGTCCACTAGAAAGCTCCTGAAAATTTCCAGAAAGTTAGGTGTTTTTTTCCGAACAGGGCAAGGCCCGAAGTAGTAACAAGACCGATTTGAAGTTGTTTCCAACTTCTGATACGATCAGTCGCAACATGCACAAAATTGTCGCAAGCTTGCTATGACATTTCCACTTCTCCCACCCATCCAAATCCGCATCGAGCACAACACATCACAAATTTCACAACGGAACCTGCCACCACACACGCAGCATACACACAATGTTGAGCTAACGAACAACACAGAGTGATGCAAGTAGCAAACAGAAGAACGACAAGGTGACTCGAGAGGAGAGAGAGGGGCCGACGGGAATTAGAACGGTAAGGGAGGGGGTATAGCGAGGGCGATTTACCGTACAATGGGGGAGATCGCGGGCGACGGAAAATGGAGTAGATCGCGTAGGCGACTGCAAATGGGGGGTCGCTATGAGATCGCGTGGGAGATAGCGAGCGCGACGGGGAGAGGGGGGAGAAGCAGCGAGTGCGACGGGGTGAAGGGGGGCGATAGCGACGGCGCGGAACGTGATGGGAGATAGCAACGTGAGCGCGATGGTGACGGGAGGGAGGAACGTGAGGGCGATGCCGATGGGAGGGGAGGACGTGAGCGATAGGAGATGAAGTGGGGAAGGAGAAAGGCGACGGGAGGGAGAGCGCTAAGGCGATGGGAGGGAGAGCGGACAGGCGACGGGAGAGAGAGCGCGAAGGCGAAGGTAGGGAGGGCGGACAGGCAACAGGAGGGAGAGCGCGAAGGAGACGGGAGGGAGGGCGCCGACGGGAGGGAGAGCGCGAAGGCGACGGGAGGGAAAGCACGAAGGCGAGGGGAGGGAGGGCGGACAGGCAACGGGAGGGAGAGCACGAAGGCGAGGGGAGGGGGAGCGGACATGCGACGGGAGAGGCGCGAAGGCGAAGGGAGGGAGGGCGGACAGGCAACGGGAGGGAGAGCGCGAAGGAGACGGGAGGGAGGGCGCGAAGCCGACGGGAGGGAGAGCGCAAAGGCGACGTGAGAGAGAGCACGAGGGCGAGGGGAGGAGGAGCGGACAGGCGACGGGAGAGAGAGCGCGTAGGCGAAGGGAGGGAGGGCGGACAGGCGACGGGAGGGAGAGCGCGAAGGAGACGGGAGGGAGGGCGCGAAGCCGACGGGAGGGAGAGCGCAAAGGCGACGGGGGAGAGAGCACGAAGGCGAGGGGAGGAGGAGCGGATAGGCGACGGGAGAGAGAGCGCGAAGGCGACGGGAGGGAGAGCGGACAGGCGACGGGAGGGGGAAGGGATATCGCGAGGGCGACGGAAGGAAAAGGGGGACATCGAAGGCAACGTGAGGGAAGGGAGATAGTGAGGGCGACGGCTAGGAAGAGGGGACATCGAAGGCGAGGGGCGGGAGAACGGGAAGGCGATGGGATCGGAGGGAAATCGCGAGGGCGAGGGGACAATAGGGGTGAACGGGAGAATAACGGACCGGGAGGGGAGACCGTGACGACGACGGGAGGGCCGTCACGTGTGTGTTTGCGAGGGCGACGGAAAGGCGACGGGACGGACTAGAGAGCGAGGCGACGGCGGACCCCACTAGCAATGAGCAAATTGATGATTGCGCGAGACGGGAAACTGGCACGGCCGCGTAAACCTACATTTCGCACTCTTGCTAAGTCGACGATTGACGCACTCGTCGGTAATTACGTGGATATGACACGAACGCCTGTGCTTTCAGCTATACTACTTACTATGCTATGCTGAAACTAGTGATGAATGGAGTGACAGAAATCTAGTAATGCACCCACCACCAGCTTGAAAATGAGGTTGGGCCTGCGATGGGAAACCATCGCCTGGGGTTTGTCGTGCGGATGCGGCACGCAAAAATGCGACGGCTGAAATGAGAAAGAAAGTTCATTTTGGCGGGAACCATTACGTTCCATTGTGGCGAGAGCCAATAACATGAGTTCACTCTGCCCATACAAATCGTTTGAAACAGTGTTTTTTATACTGGTTTCATCCTCACTTGCAACTCCTCATTCAAGTTGGGACGGGGGTCACTATTTTGCATGCGGGCTTTAAGCCAGGGCTCCACGCACGTCCGCCGTGCCATGGATTAAGCCCGGCAGTGTTGACAAAAGAGACCCGAATGGTGAAGTCTCGAGTGGGGGTTACTGGCGCATAGCCTTCGCAGCGTCCGCGGGCATACCGGTGCAGGCAAAGCAGATGCTAAATGAGCAACAAGAGCTTGATTAAGCAGGCTGGGAAATGCCCTCCCTCCTAAGCTTCCTGAGCGTGATTAAGCAGGCTGGGAGATGGTTGCACGACTCTTGGAAATTGTTGCAAGTCCCTTGAAGCCCCTGAAGAAGGCGAGATTTCTTGCCCATGATGCGACGGAAGTCACGAACTTCTTCCGTGGCTAGGCTCAAATCAGCCTAAGGCAGGCCCCTAGATATCAGCCTTTATCTTTTTTTTTTTTATGTACCAGCTATTTCATCACCCTTCTTATACTAGCCACAGCTGATTTTCCAGCATTTATGATTCTACGTCGTCTGTTTTTCAGACTTCTTTTGTGAGGGTATGCTGAATCCAAAGTTATAACGGGACCTTATGATGAATTTGCAACCCATAGCCCCTCCCTTTCTCTCAAATCTTCCCCCAGCCCACCCCATTCTCTCACCCTACCCCCCAGCCACCTCGCTCTCTCACTCATCCTCCTAGTCTACCTCGTCCTCTCCTTTCTTAGGGCTCCTCAGTTCTCCACTTTGTCAGAATAGCCCTAGGCAAGGGTTAGAGACCTTGGGATACATGGCTAGAAGATAGGGCAAAAGAGTGGTTGATTAGTGAGAACCGAGAATACAAATAGCGGCTAGGCAAGCAAGCAAGGAGGTATACCACCAAACAGGAAGCTACACTATACTAGATAACACAGTAGGCTGTTTATACATAAAATGTAACAATATATTTTACGACACACCCCCTAAACTGCCTGCAAGTAAACCAAGTGTAGTGAACACCAACTGAAGGGGTACACCAGAGAAGGTGCAGCAGGTGCTGCAGTGGCAGATGCAGCATCAGCAGGTGCGGCGGCGGCGGCTGGATCTCTCTCCTGCCACCCCCTCACCCTCTTCCCCCACAACAGCATAGGAGAGAGGCTGGGGGGAGGCGACTACTGCTGAAACACATCCGCCCCCCCCCTCACCCTCCCCCCCACAGCAGCAGGCGCAGCCGTAAGAGAGAGGAGGCAGCTGGCGTTGTAGGTGCAACCACCCCCCACCGCCACTCCCGGGTTCCCCCCCCCCCCCCCTAACTGCTGCACGCGAAGCAGGGGAGGGAGCAGGAAGCGGGCGGGGTTGGGCAGCGGGGACGACTGGAAGCGAGACACCCGCGGTGACGGGAAGCAGGGCGCCCGCAGCGACGGGCACAGAAAACCGACACGCGCTAGGGCGCGCAACGGGTAGAAAACCGACGCGCTAGGGCGCGCGACGGGGAGAAACCGACGTGCGCGACGAGCAGAAAACCGATGCGCGCTAGGGGCGCGCTAGGGGCACGCTACGGGCAGCGCGATGGAGTGCGCCATGGTGGAAGCTAACGGTAGGCCCAAGAAAGAAGGCTCTAGGAACGAGCCTGTTCTGAATACCATGTCAGAATAGCCCAACTGAAGGGGTACACCAGAGAAGGTGCAGCAGGTGCTGCAGTGGCAGATGCAGCATCAGCAGGTGCGGCGGCAGCGGCTGGATCTCTCTCCTGCCACCCCCTCACCCTCTTCCCCCACAACAGCATAGGAGAGAGGCTGGGGGGAGGCGACTACTGCTGAAACACATCCGCCCCCCCCCTCACCCTCCCCCCCACAGCAGCAGGCGCAGCCGTGAGAGAGAGGAGGCAGCTGGCGTTGTAGGTGCAACCACCCCCCACCGCCACTCCCGGGTCCCCCCCCCCTCCCTAACTGCTGCACGCGAAGCAGGGGAGGGAGCAGGAAGCGGGCGGGGTTGGGCAGCGGGGACGACTGGAAGCGAGACACCCGCGGTGACGGGAAGCAGGGCGCCCGCAGCGACGGGCACAGAAAACCGACACGCGCTAGGGCGCGCAACGGGTAGAAAACCGACGCGCTAGGGCGCGCGACGGGGAGAAACCGACGTGCGCGACGAGCAGAAAACCGATGCGCGCTAGGGGCGCGCTAGGGGCACGCTACGGGCAGCGCGATGGAGTGCGCCATGGTGGAAGCTAACGGTAGGCCCAAGAAAGAAGGCTCTAGGAACGAGCCTGCTCTGAATACCATGTCAGAATAGCCCTAGGCAAGGGTTAGAGACCTTGGGAGCCATGGCTAGAATATAGGGCAAAAGAGTGGTTGATTAGTGAGAAACAAGAATACAAATAGAGACTAGGCAAGCACGCAAGGAGGTATACCACCAAACAGGAAGCTATACTACACTAGATAATACTGTAGGCAATTTATACATAAAATATAACAGTATATTTTACGACACACTTCCCCAGCCCGTGTCCCCCAGCCCCTCCCCATGCCTACCTGCCTTCCCTGCCCTTCCCCGCAGCTCACCCGCCTCTTTCGCGCCCACCTGCTTCTCTCCCCCCCCTGTTTATCTCGCCATCCTAATCATGAACCATGCTACATAGAAAAGTTCATCGATATTATCATCATTTCCAAAGTTCA